TGATGAGATTAAATAATTCCCACACTTCAGATCTTCTCAATACAAATATTCTTTGACCGTGAGCTAGTAAGGTCCAACTATTATGTCTCGATAAATACCTAAAATATAATAGCTTAGATTTTCGAATAATAATTTGCTTGAAACTCGGTTTGAAATAAGTTCTTAATCAGCTTAAATATATCAATAGACACCCTAGATATAAACAATATATCATTTTTCAGACTTTCTTTCGTGCCTTCTGGCTATCAAAAATATTTCTTGCAAACATCCACTTTTAATCGAAATAATTGAATTGTATAATGATCTTGCTACTGCTACTTCCTCTGTTGATTACCAAGCCATGTTGGAATATCTGGGCACACAATGGCTGGTCTTGCTGCTAAGGCAGCACTCAACAAATTTGTGAGACCACTTCTCATTCTACTCTGATTACAAAACTATCATTAAATAGTCGTTATCCGACTCTACTACTACAGATGAGACAGATAACAGCAATACAAGTTGTGACAACAGCAGATAAGGGTGTGACAAACAGTTGGTGGAACAGCGCCGCCATGCATTTCAGGTGCAGCTCAACACAGCCGGGTGAGAGACCCCTACTAGTCAGGAAGCAGCCGGCGCTGTTCCACCAGCCGTTTGTCACCCCTCTGTGTGGAGCGTGAAAATGGAACAATATTACATGATAGTTTCTTAAACAACATTTTCTATGATCGATCGTAAAACGTCAGATTTCAGATCCTTTTGGGTACGGAGGTTTCAGGACCATGTGTCTTATTTATGTTTTGTGAACTTATCCCTATATCGAGTTATTTAATCATTCATCGTTCTCATTTGAACCCATACGGACTGTATCAAAGCAATAAATGCCCTTAATGTTTAAAGATCTGCTGCCGATGATAAGTTAATTGTTGAAATTTTCAAGTATTCTTCTGATATTATAGTTCCATATTTAACAGTTTTATTCGACATGATCTGTGTGTTTCCCGCTCAGTGATCGGTTGGTCTTATTGTCCCTATTCATAAAAGGTGATTCAGTTTCAAATTATAGAGGATTTTCTATCCTCAGTATATTTAGTAAACGTATATTGCAGTTATTAACGATAGACTTAAGCGTGAAGCTTATGTTAAAATATCCGAGGCAAAGGCAGGGATTAGAACAGGTTATTCAACTGTCGACAACATCTGTATTCTTCATTCTATAACACGGAGAATTCTATCGAATAACGGTAAATTGTATTCTTCTTCGTCGACTTCTCGAGAGCATTTGATTTGGTAAATAGGTCGAAATTATGGTTAAGTTTGCAACAGAAAGGATTGATACCCAAGATGTTAGTTTGCATCAAATCCATCTATAGTTGTGTTTAATCTTGTGTTAAAGTCAATAATTCTTTTTCACAGATGTTTGATTGTAATACTGGAGTTCGTCAAGGCTGTGCCTTGCGTCCCTTCTTGTAATTAATTTTTATAAACGATTAAGCTGATAGTATAGGATCGTTGTGTTACCCGGGCACACAGTTATATCCAGAAATAACTCAGTTGTTTCTCCTTCTATTTGCTGATGACGTTATTCTATTCTCTGACACCATCTATGGGCTTCAAAAACGTATTAATGTTCTTGAACAGCATTGCAAGGAATATGTTCTACAGGTGAGCTTAGAAAAAATCCAAAACTGTTGTGTTTAGAAATGGTAGCACCCTTAGTAAGCACGAAAAATGGTATGTAGGAGGTAAATTAATTTACTGTGTTTCTTCAAATAGATATTTGGGAATAGTATTTTCACAAATATTGTCATGATATAAACCTTTTGAGAACTCTACTTTACAATCCAAAAAGGCTTTGTTTTGTATTTTGAAAAATTTAACAAAATTTGAGCACATGAAATGTGACTGACTGACTGACTGAGTTTGGTTTTACGCCGCTTTTAGCAATATTCCAGCAACATCACGGCGGGGGACACCAGAAATGGGCTTCACACATTGTACCCATGTGGGGATTCGAACCCGGGTCTTCGGCGTGACATGAAATGTGAAGTCTCCTTCAGGATTTGAGACAATAAAGTAATGCCTATGTTGCTTTATGGTGCATTGTATGGGGTCTAGACCCTGATTCTAATTCATCTATTGAAATAGTTCATAACTTAGCCTGTAAATATCTATTCTGTGTTAAACTATGTACCCCACCCACGTTGTACGTGTTTGCCTACAAACGCTGTATTATGTATTGGTACAAACTTGTAAATATGCCTTCTACACGTTTTCTTAAGAAATGTTATAATTTATTATTGCTAGATTAGATGATTCAAATGGTAAATTAACTGGGTATCAAGACTGAAAACCTTATTGCACACAATGGGTTTGGGATGCGTATCGGAAAATCAATTTATTCCTAACAAAAACCCTTTTTATTTATGAATTCATTTGTACAGCCCAAAACATATATTTACAGGAATGGCATTCCTCGCTGTCTAATGGCTCAAAAACTTCATTCTATTCTCAATGTAAATTTATTTTTGGTGTTGAATCATATCTTCGTATGAATCTCGTATTGCCTTGGCTATTTTCAGGTGAAGTTCACACCAACTGAATAAAGAAACTGGTAGGCATATAAAAAAAACAAAAAGCTTAAGATTGTGTGAAATGTGTTCCTGTTACTATGTAGAAAATGAGTACCATTTCTTATTGATATGTACTGCTTATGATGATTTACATAAACGTTTTATCCCAGGTGATATTTCCACCCATCCAACCTTATGTAAATGTTCACTTTCTATGCTAACAATCGTCGTCGCTGCTAAAGTATAATGATGTATCATATGCCGATGGCCTACCTTCACATTAATAAAGAATTGATTGAAATAAATTAAGGCAGTCAAATTGTTTATACATAATATGATTCAAATGGATAAGATTGTTATACGAAATACGCATTTGGTGCATTTATCCGTCTTATGGAATTATGTAACAGAAGTTCAGTTTTGAATCCAACTCTTGTCGTGGCTCTGCGATACGTCATTGCTGTGGTGCGAGTCACGAAAACACAGACTGTGACAAAGAGTTAAGTGAGCAAAAACTTCTGGCCCACATGATGCCTCCTTCAAATCCTGCCCTGTATGACAAATGAATATTTTGAAAATTTTGAAACTGAAATGTGAATGAACAAATCATGCCTTGAAGCCATTTAGCTATTTACACATAACGTCTCACACCCATGAAATATTGTATTCTCTGCTACAGTCACTCGCTCTATACCAACATCCTACGATACATATCAGACTTTACATGGGTCAGGTCAGAAACAAACATTACTTCAGCTTCAGTCATACCACCAACATCCCAGTCTCTTAATCTATAACTGGATCTAAGACTGAGACACCATCACAAACGTCTGACAAAACATCCGAAACAAAATAGAAAGGGAAAACATATAGGAAACAAACACCCTTCGTCCCTTCAATTTGAGAGGTTGCTATACAGAATCCATTTGGACCTAAACGTGGCATTTACACTGTCACAGAACACGCTTATCCTCCTTACATTCACTAGACAGACATCTCCAGTTAAGCCAACACGCCACAATTGGCCTATACAGAGCTATGGAATTCCAAAGGACTTAAAAAATAACTGCAACGAACTACAAACTTTGATGGATTTTCAACTGCCAGCATTATGTCTCCAAAATACTTATCTAAAAACTACAGACACTTTTGATTTAAGACAGCACAGTGATTATCATTCCTTTTCTCGTCCAGGAGATAAAGCAGCTGGAGGTGCTTCCTTTTGGTACAGCGGTGAATCATACATGACACTCTTTTTCTTAATACGAATCATCAAATTGTTGCTAGACGTTTGATATTTGAGAGTTGGATCAACAAAATCTGTATGATCAGGTTCCTAAGCCATGATGAACTATGTGGAAGTGATCACTTCCCTACCATTCTCATACCTATCATCCCTGGTGATGATCCATCTGTATCAAGAAGGAACTTCACCAAGGCTAACCTAACTAATCAGTGGAAAAGTGAAGCACGTCCTTTTAAGGAACAATGACGTTCCTGTACATTTGTTTTGTTTATACTTTAAGACATTGTTGACGAAACAATACCTCTGCAACTGCACATATTTGAAAACCATGATGTAATGATGAACACAAACAGGCCAGAAAAATGTAGAAAGAAAGCAGAAAATTATTTTTGCTGACACCCTTCAGTCGATAATTTGGTGAAGCTAAAATTTCAATATCTCAGTGCTCGATGTTCATTTAAACAGAATATGCGTCAGTCTTGGAGAAACTATGTTCTCATACACCAGTTTCAAAGGTGGGGAACATGATACAAATAAAAAAACCAAAGGTTCAAAATCTACTGTTCACCATCTGAAGGACAGTGACAATTTATAACCTAAACAAGCTGCCATTGCAAATAAACTTGACGAAACTATAGCCAAACATTCTTCAGCAACAAATTGTGTCCCTTAGTTTCAGAAGTATTAGAAACAACAAGAGACGGAAAGGATAAATTTCAACTCAGGCAATGGTGATGACTATAATGAACTGTTTTCATTACATGAGCTACATACTGCCCTTGAGCAAGCTCATGATACAGCGCCATAAATTCTATATATGAGCTTTTCCATTTTCGTGGCATAATGCCAGAGTAATGCCCAAAGTAAGAAACTGCCATCAAAATTGGAACACACCTCAATCTGTATACGTCACAGATGGTATATATATATATATACACTACCATCACCTCAGTCAGATAGACAGACCTTAGACGTCTGTGGTGTGAAGTACTGTAGCGGAGGGACAGATTGTGATCAGCAACATTCTAACTCTGTCCGAGGCTCCATCTCTTCTGCAATATTCATCAGGACATCTTAGTTTCCAAATAGTGTCACATTCCCACTTCCCACATTCCCATTATCTCAAGAACAACCCAAGAGGACCTCAAGAAACGGACGACTCAAAGGCTTCTCCGCATTTAATCTTACATTTAATAGAAATGGCAGCTATAAGAGGCAGATTTATAAACATTGTTCGCTCCTTCTCAATGTCCCTGACGGGGAGAAGGGAGCGTCCTGGATCAAAGGAGTGTCGTCTTCTAGCATGTGGCCCAAGAGATGTAACTGAAGCCCTCAAGCAAACCTTCCAGACAGAAACAGACATGGCATCAGCGTCACTGAACACCCTCAGCATGAGCAGACTTCAGGGCCTGGTAGCTGGGATAAATCGACTTTCTGTGATCATGAGTGATGCTTTTATCCTCGTCTTCTACATGGACGATGAAGACTGCTTCCAGACCATCTCAGCATTCAGAGAACGTATAATTGAACTGAAGGGAGAGGACGTGCCATTACTGGTTGTTGGCTACAACCGAGCCACGTCTTCTCCACGGATCATGGGTCCAGAGACCGCAGACTGCCTTGTTACAATCGAGTGGGGTTTGAGCTACAAGGAAGCATCCGCCGGCAATCCAGGAGATCTGAAAGAGGTGTTAAAAGAGATGTTCAATATTATCGGAGCTAAGCAGTCAATGCAAAGGGCAGCAGACCGCAGAATGACCAGTGTCTGATGTGTTTGGGCCTCTGTGGTGGTTCGAAAACCCTTTTAAAAATTACAACATTGATAAGTGTTTGATAAGGAAATGTCTCATCTAAGATAATTATAAGACAACACTTGTAGGAGTTTACCCAACTACAAAGCTTACATGCGCATGAACAGCTGCCACGATATTGATGGGATTTGAAATGTTCATAATGACAGTGATGATCACGTTGCCACTCTGTCTTTTTATTCGACTGGTTTCACAATATTGTGTCATTACATGAAGTGTTTGATCTTTTATTGCCCTTTTATATATTGACCTACCTACTGTGTTGAATGAAGGCAGTCAAATTGTTTATACATAATATGCTTCAAATAGATAAGATTGCTATACGAAATACGCATTTGGTTCATTTATCCGTCGGTGTAAATCCAACTAGGGTCTATGCAGGTAGCAAAAGAACTGTAAGTCCCCATGGTTCCTAGTATGGTGATCTACCTTCAGTTGTTGGTGACCTATAGCCTGTTTTTATGTTGTATTGTCTTCGTAAATAAAATAGTTTTACATTTACATGCCAGTTTTAGACTCCATCTGTGATTTTACAGTCCTTTGATGACTGATTATTCAGCAACTTATATTTATTGTGTATGTAAAACCTTTCTCGTCACTATATGGCTGAAATATTGCCGAGGTGACGTTAAATTTTAACTCACTCACTCATTTATCCGTCTTATGGACTTATTTCTTTGACATACGTCAAGGGTGGGCTGGGCTGCATGAGTCTTTTAGAGGCCATCAATCAAATACAGGCCCCAGCACATGCTATTGAGATGTGTATAGTTACCACAATCAGCAGCAGCAGCAGCAGTAGCAGTGCTGAGGAGTAAGAATGTCAACTGACCAGAAATAAGTTCAGCTCCGTGAAAAGGACATCAATTCATAGAAGGATCATCAGCTCACTGTGATTCACAGAAACCTCAAAAGCTGCTACATTCCTCACAAAATCTTAACGGTCCCATTTGTAGAATTTTGTAGACGCCATGAGACAAAGCGATTGTAACACGAGTGGCTAATGGAACCGAATGTATCATATGAACATCTGTTGTATGTTAGACTTTTGATGGGTAGTATAGATCGGGTTGTGCCATTCTGCACAAGAATGATCAATCTACACATATGCTACTCCATAGAAGTGAAGAAAACGTCATTTTTCTGATAAATCGTGTTTATCTGTCATGGTCACGAAAGATTAAATGTTGTCATACAAAAACCTGATTGTTCTTCTACTGATTGTGTGTGGTATATTATCCAATCGTTCAGTACATAATCAACTAGGTAGAAAAAAACAAAATGAAAACGCTGATTTCCGCATATGGTGTATTCTCGCCATACCGACTTTTGTAGGCATGGTTATTCTCGCCAAAGCGGCAAGCAAATGATGACGTGACTACACAGATCGGATATGACCTTTCTTGACAGTCGTATATGAGTCATTCTCTAAATTCGTGCATATTTATGTTATATGTTTGTACCCGACAAACTTAAGTCAAAATCCAAAAAATAAAATTATGGTAACTAATTTATCTCAGTTTATTCTACACTTTACAATAACAAAATTGAGGAAAAAATATTTTATATTTATTTTGAACCCCCAAAACCACCCAATTTTACTAAATTTTCATGTGCCACAACTCCAGTGGCCGATGTGCAATTCGAATTTTTATTGTCTTTTTCATCTTTTCCAAAGGAAATTTTTTAACATATCATAATTAATGATGTTACAGCTACATGCTTGGCGTGGTTTTGGCCCTTTTTGTATGGAAAAACATTTTGTAAAAAAAGGTCAAACTTTGTTACAAGGTTTGATGTCACTACCGTAACATCATCCCAAAAATTGCAATATTGATTACTCCCTGTACTATCTTCTAATTCTACTTCATGTTTGCAAGCATAGCAGTGAGGAAAAATGGCAGTGAAACAATGACACAATAAAAAATCATATTTGCTGAATTTTATCACAAAAAAAGGTGTGTACAAAATGATATCTGAGATTTTTGCATGTCCTTACCGTTACGGTGGTTACCGCTGAAACCAAATAATTTTGTGAAGCCAAACAATGCCAAGTACCTTAGACAGTAGGGGAAATCATTTGAAACCATGTGCTCAGTAAACTTTGGGGACCAGTTATTGTTTTAAAACTGATATTATTAGTGGCTGTCACTATCATTACGGTCACTGCTGTTATCATAGGTTTTGTTACGGTAAGGACAGATTTTGTGACGGCAGTGCCATTTTTCTAGTTTAATGTTGATTGTATCTAAATTTTCAATTCAAAGATTTCAAATGTTTTGGAATCTTATTTAATATAAAAACATTGTATCAAATGAATAAATATAATAAGCATATAAGTATGATGTTTTTGTTACGGTAAGGACAGGGAAGTGTAACGGCTGTGAAAAGAAGAAAATGGCTGTGATAGGGCCGTTACGGTAGTGACATTACATACCACCACAATGTCACTGCCGTAACATGCAGTCTTTACCTGATTTTTACATGACAGGGACACCGTTAAGTAAATCTTTTGCCTATTACATATTCTTCAAACATTCTTAAATATCTGATTGACACATTTCATCAAATTATCTTTTAAAGTAACCATATAAAACTGGCTATTATTAAAACTGTCACTGCCGTTATTGTGTCACTACCCTAACAATTAATTCCAATGTCAATGCCATAACAATATTATTTTCCTTATTTAATTAAAATTGATTTATCTGTTTATGTCTGGAATTTGTAGTGCAGTTATGTTTGGTAGTAGAGCTTCAAGTAAGCATAATATAATTCATATTCTCATTTTAAATTTTTCGCTACATATTACTTTACATAAGCAAAACAGAAATGAAAGAATTTTTGTGACTTGTCGGCCCCTTTTAAGTAATAGATATAAAATTTCTCATTAGCCATGTTATATTGTAAAACTAGATAGTTTAATATATATGTACATTAAATAACTATCATCTTTGGAGTTTTTCTTTTCTAAATGACGTTACAAATTTCATAACGGTAGTGACGCAATTTCATGACATTTCTAATAAAAAGGGTAAAATATGAAAAATGAAACGTCGTTAAGCTTGCATAATTTATCGTTTTTATATCAGAATACTATGAACGTAATCAACCACATTTCAAAGTAAAACAAGAAAACAAAATTTACAATTTTTGCCTACATGAAATATGCACGAATTTTGAGAATGACTCATATATAAAGTACATATAAACTAGAATGTTCAATATCATCTGACATCTATCACACGTGATAAATGTTGCCATAGCAATGTGGAGTATAAAGTATCTGTCAGTTGTCAGATCACCTGTACTTGCACGTTCCATGTGACGCAGTTTCTTGCTGATGACAAACATCGCTCAGTATTTAAATATGAGAGATGAACGGTTCTCAACCTTTGATTTAGTTGAATTGTAGAGGATTTAAAACAAATTTTAATGATCTACAAATATTATCCAGGAAGTTAAACAACCAGCATTCTGTCTGTAGGAAACATATTTACAGCAGACAGACAAAATTATCTTAACTGACTATAAATTGGGCAGCCTGTTTGCCATGGGTTGCGCCCCGGTGTCGGTAGAGTACGGGATTCTGGTGGTTGAGGGCACTGGTTTCAGAAATAGCGTTCCTTTGGTCAATACACCCCTTCGACCCTTACTTCACTTAGGTGGGTGGTAGAATGGATCCGGTTCTATCAATCGGCTGGTCAAGCCCTGTGCATGGTGCAGCTTGTTCAGCTTGACCTGAGCTACTCTAACACGATTAAAAATGTAACGTTTAGCAAACGATCATGGTAGAACAGCCAGGTGTGGGAGTTGCACGTGTGAAAGTGAAATTTCGCAACACACGCTTGTTAATTACCTGGCTGTTCTACCAGCAAGTGGTCCCCACTCGTAAAAATAATGAACGTTTGATAAACAACATTTTTATTTGGGTGTCCAAAATTATGAGACAAATCATCAGAGTCGGTCTGTCGATTTCATGTGACTGTGCAACATTTGGTTTTGTTGCAATTATTAAATTTTGTGTTAGTAAGCAATTCATCGGTCTCAAATGTAATCAAACGGACTTATATTAGAAGTCGATGACTTTATTATATTAGTCTCTTTATTATGCCTCAGCAATAATTCCCTAGTCCAAACATAGGGAGAATATGTTTTATAACACAATTCATAAAAAGGATTATTGAATGTTCAAAAAACTGGTTTGGATTGTCTTTTGATTGATTGATTGAGTGAGTTTAGTTTTACGCCGCACTCAGCAATATTCCAGCGGTCTGTAAATAATCGAGTCTGGACGAGACAATCCAGTGATCAACAGCATGAGCATCGATCTGCGCAACTGGGAGCCGATGACATGTGTCAACCAAGTCAGCGAGCCTGACCACCCGATCCCTATATTTGTCTCTTACGACAAGCATGGGTTACTGAAGATTCATTCTAACCCAGACCTTCACGGGTCGGCTTTTGATTGAAGTTACTTTTTTTCAGGGGCGGTGGGGTAGCCTAGTGGTTAAAATGTTGGCTCGTCATGCCGAAGACCCGGGTTCGAATCCCTACATGGGTACAATGTGTGAAGCCCATTTCTGGTGTTCCCCGCCGTGATGTTGCTGGAATATTGCTAAAAGCGGCTTAAAACCAAACTCAATCAGTCAGTACTTTTTTTCAGATTTAAACACTACACTCAGTACAAATTTTCCAGATAAATATACTGCAGATGTTGATACTGTTTTAAAGCGTGATCCCCCACTTCATCTGACCCCACTGAGGTGTTATGGAGGCGGTAGTTCGTTTTTGGCTTGCTGCGTCACAAATCATTTATGGACTTGAATACAATGTTTCCGAGTTCACACTTAGAGCTGGTGTGGAAAACATCCTCCTTTGTCTCAAAAGAGAAAGATGGGAGTGAGTGAGTTTAGTTTTACGCCGCACTCAGCAATATTCCAGCTGTAAATAATCGGGTCTGGACCAGACAATCCAGTGATCAACAGCATAAGCATCGATCTGCGCAATTGGGAACCGATGACCAAGTCAGCGAGCCTGACCGCCGGATCCCATTAAACTAGTCGTGCTTGAGAATATTTCGCTCATATGACGACGTGCATGCATGTGTATGTGTATGTGCGGCTGCTTGTACTAGCCCAGACTTAAACTGGTTTATAGTGCTAGCCCACATGCTGCAGTGAAGCATGAATACCCCACTCAGACACATTATACTGACTCCGAGCCTACCAGTCGTTGTACCCATTAATGCCGAGCGCCAGGCAGGGACCAACAAGTACCATATTTTAACGTCTTTTGGTATGACGCGATCGGGGATGGAATCCGCGACCTTCCGCTCTCCGGGTGGACGCTCTAACCACTACACCAGTGAGGCGGTTACAACAGGCATGGGTTACTGAAGATCAATTCTAATCCGGACCTTCACGGGTCAGAGAAAGATAGAAGGATACGATACAGGGGAGATTGTCTTGAAAACTACTAAAGTGTAGAGTATTGGTCTTTTGTGCACTTGTACGCCTTGCCTAATGTGCTCAATAGGCCCGTTCAGTACATCTATCCGCAAATCCAGATCTAGAATGTTGCTTAATAGATCTGCCCTAAGTCAGTCGACAATGTCGATCGTGAGTATGAACTGAAGCCTAGCTGTCTGCATTCAGTGTATATAAGTATGTCATTACCATTAATTTCGTGTGACCACCCCCTGCCCCTTATCACAGATTGAAATGTTTGCCCCCCACCCCCACCGGCATACTGTAAAATACGGAGTGGAGTCTTGGAGTGGAGTCTGGAGTATGGAGTCTGGAGTATAAGTGCACTTGCCACTTCTGTAAATACTGATTACTGTTTAGAATATGCCATTAATGGCTCTTACCAGTTGTCATTTATACCTCCGAAATCATCGGTTTCAAAAGTACTACAAATTAATATATATGCTAGAATACCTAAAGTTTCTACAAATGTATTATCACTATATATTATATGTGTAGTTTATACGATATTGCCACTGTCCCTTCAAGGTATGCTGTGCAATAAATATCTATCTTACGCATCTTAGAGATTAGTCTTTCTTTTTTACAGCTCTCGTAGAAATGTTTGTTAATGCTTGTCAGTTTACTCCAAACTTATTAATAAATCGTCATAAATTCAAACTCTGTGCAATTATACTTTCATTTGTAGACAGCAATGTAATCGAGATTGTGAAAATGTTTACATGGCAATCCTCAGTAGCACTGGTTTAGCTCTCTGCCATTCTGAGGGCAGATAGTATCAGTGATGTGTTTCCTCTAATCTGTCACATTCCAATGGACTGCCCATACATAACCTGACAGAAAGTCAAGATTTTCAAAGCCATAGAGAGCTGATGAAACTCACTAACAGTCAGCTTGCAAAATAATCTGCTGCATGTGTTTTGCTTTTTGTTTGTAAGTTCAAGGGTGTAGAGAGATGGCTAGTTTTGAAAAAAAAAAAACAATTATGACATTTTGCCATCACTGACAAAAATCCAGGTTCTTGAATAATATAGTGCTATGTATCTTCTGTAATCAATTTCTTTGTTAAGTTCGAAATAAATAATTCATGCAATAATAACTGTCATATTCCCTGATGACTAGTATGTCATAGCATAGACCTAATTTACATTCTTTATCCCTTACTACGGCTTCCTCTACACAATTTGCAATTACATGTGACAATGTTATATATGTCGTTTGTGGCTAATAAATAATGCCATTATTAATATTTTGTTTATAGGTTGTAAATAATTTACATGCTTCTCCATCCTTCCATTCATCCACCCTTCTATTCATATACATTTTTCTTCTTGATGGCAGCACAGCCCCAGAGCAGGACCGGTAGTTAACATGGTACTGTTACAGAATGACATTTCTGGAGTTGACAGGGCTAACTGATACGTGTATACAAAATGCCTCCTGCCTTCTGATAAAACTGATAACACCAACCAGCTACAGATGTTGAAACGAATGTGCTGATTTAGCTACCCTTATGGTCAAAACAAAACAAACTCGGTCGCCTAAATATTTACATTCAGACTCCACTCCAAGACTCCACTCCAAGGCCCCACACCAAGACTCCACTTCATGTTTTACAGTATGCCACCCCCACCCCTACCACTGTCACTGGGTCTCAATTTAATTCTTTGGACAGGATAATAGAACTACGTGTCTCGTTTGACAACCTTAACATGACTCCAGTATTCCGATACATTTCGATGGTTTATGATCCATAAAAAGGGATTATTCAATATGAATATTGATGTGCATATTTCGTTAACTGTTTATTTCTACTTTTAATAACACAGTTGCCAGTATTATCTCCCTTAACGGAAGTTGCATGTGTTCCGGCAAACATGTCACTGAATGTCACTCTCGAGTTGAGGTAAATTTTCAGTGAAATACTTATTTACTTGAAAGATGAAAGGTTGGACTTTGTTGGTGATTGGTTTCATCTGTTTTCAAAATGATAACTCACCTCGAACGATTCCAAGAAAGCGTGTGAAGACTGTCTAGCATGTACGAATAATCAACGAAGCAACCGTAAAATATATAGATATTATTACACGAGCAAGTGTGTTATACGACTTACCGGTATACGAAACGAGTGTGAAATATTGTATTGCCCGAGCTAGAGCCCGGCCAATACACAATTTTGCAAGAGTTTTGTATAAGTCGTGTGACACACTTGCGAGTGTAATCATTTCTTTATTATCCATTTTATTCATGTACGTTTGGGTAAAACGGTGAGCAAGTGTGACAGCCCTGTTCCTTGACGTCACGTTCAATTGTTTAATGACGTCACAGACGACGAAATACAGAAACAATGATTGCTAAGTAAAAATGATATGTGCACATGTGCACATATGCACATATGATATATATTACACTGGTTATGTTTCACCATATGGATAATAATCATCATTATATTATCTGTCATATTTCATGTTAAAGGAATTTTCTTTATGGGCATGTTAAACTTGTATAGCCAGTAGCCATACATCATTTTCACCTCACCCTGTATAGATTATTATTTGTGGTATGATGAGAAAGGATAGGGGTTTGGGGGACCTCATCGTTGTACAAAGCTGCACCCAGCAATATTACAGCTTTTCGAGGATGGTCTGTGATTGTTTAGTAATCAAATCTGCACCATACAATCCAGTAATTGACATCATGAGCATCAACTCGGATACGATTGTGTCAACGAAGTCGGTGAGTCTGACCACCTGATCTAGTTAGGGACCGTTCATAATTTATGGCTAGGGTGAGTGATGATGATTTTTATTGAGAAGCATGTACAATGTGAATGACAACACACACACACACACACACACACACCCTAAAATATATGTACAAAGTAAGTGACCCCTCCTGCATGTCATGTACAAAATCAATGACCCACCTGCCCTTCCCATAATTTTAAAGCATAATTTCTGATAATATTTATGTACAAAATAGCTGCCCCACCCCCTGTACACGTGTACAAAATTGATGCCCTCCCTACCTCCCCTGAAGAAAATGGGTCATACACACACACACACACACACACACATACACACACACATACACACACACACACACACACACACACACACACACCATCAGCCCCCCCCCAGCCATAAATTATTAACTGTTCCTTAGTCACTGCTTACGACAAGCATGGTATGATTATCAGCTCTAATGGGCTTCATCATCAGTATACTCTTCTTATAACGTCATTCTGTATGATGCTTATTTTTTGTAGTGGTGGAGCAGAGCTGCTGTTTAATAAAGTCAAGAAACATGATGTGAATCTCCCAGACAGAAATGAGACATGTAAGGGTGATTGATTGAGTGAGTGAGTGGGTTTTACGCCACTCTTAGCAATATTTCACAGCAATATCACGGCAAGGGACACCAGAAATGGGCTTTACGCATTGTACCCGTTGTGGGAAATCGAACCCAGGTCTTCGGCATGACAAGCGAACACCTTAACCCCTAGGCTAAAGACTAGTAATGTAAATCCATTTGGAGGCAATTAACATTTCACAGTGATCTGTGCATGTGAACCTGTTCTGTTTTATGTATTGTTACTTTCTGACAGCTGTGGCTTAAGTTATGACTATGTGTCTCACTCTCTCTCTTTTTGACAACAAAGTAAAAAAGTAAAAAAATAAGGTGCAGTTTTCACCTTTCAATAAGTAGCTGTTTGGCTTGGGGCACAACTCTGATTTCAGTAGCTGCTACTGAATTTGTTGGGTTCCATTTCCTCCCAGTGCTGTTTTGCTGAGATGTGGCTATAGCTATAACCACCTTGAATGTATTGGATATAAAACAGATGATGTTTTAGTGAGTGAGCGAGTTCAGTTTTACGCTGCACTCAGCAATATTCCAGCTCTATGGCGGCAGCCCTTGAAATAATCAAGCCTGGACCACACAATCAAGTGGTCAACAGCATGAGCATCAATCTACGCAATTGGGATATGATGACACGTGTCAACCAAGTCAGCGAGCCTGACCTCACAATCCCATTAGTCGCCTCTTACGAAAAGCATGGGTTACTAAAGATCAATTCTAACCCAGATTTTCACGGGTGTGATAATGTTTTAATGCATGCAGGTCTATTTCACTTCCATCTTTTTTTCAAACTGCTGAACAACACTAGTAATGGAGATTGATAGGTATCCAATAATTTGCCATTCACTGTGAGCATAACACTAGAAATGTTTGGTCGCGTGTCAAAGATTATGAACATTGTTAATCTACACTTAGACACTGAAAGAGTTTCAGCTGATATTCTGGTTGATAATCAAAGAATAATCCATGGTTGGCACATCTGGCCAAATATGCACAAATAATGTGTAGGCTACTGGTCAACCAACTTCTCCAACAGTCAGTCAGACACATTTTGTGCATTGGTCAGTCAGTCAGACACATTTTGTGCTTCGCGGTCAGTCAGTCAGACACATTTTTTGCCATCAAGACTCACTTGTTCCAAGAGGCATACAAATAGACATTCCTAGCTTTGTGTATATCCATACGTTGTCAGACTCTAGCAGTGCTTTTGAGCAGCTGTGCTCAGCTGGTAAATGCGCTATATAAATCTTTAGTTATTATTATCCCCCACCGCGGGTTTAGCGTGAAGCGGGGCATAGTATTTGGCTCAGTCCGCCTGTCCGTACGTCTGTACGTACGAATTGGAATATCTTAAGAACCGTTGACTAGATTCTTTTCATATTTGGTACCTAGCTTCATCACAGTATAAGAAAGGTCCAAGTCAGGTTTGATGACCTTGACCTTCATTTCAAAGACTTTAAAGTTTTATCTAGGGAAGGCGCAGGGCCCAGTTGATTTTGGTGACATTCACATAATTTTCAAGGTCATGGCGACACTTTGAAGATTTCAGCATGTTAACCTGCATGTTAAGCTATCTCAAGAACCGTTCACTGGATTTTCTTCATATTCAAGACCCAGCTTTATATAGGGAAGGTGCAGGGTCCAGTCAATTGTGGTAACCTTCACATAATTTGCAAGGTCATGGCGACACTTTGAAGATTTCAGCATGTTAACCTGAATTGTCAGGAAGATATTTCAAGAACGGTTCACTGGATTTTCTTCATAGACTTTCAAGATTTCCCTTGAATGTTTTTCAATAAGCAATTTCTTTAGTACTATTTTTGCATATTTCATACACTATAACATTCATGCCAAGGTCAAAAATATGTGTGTGTTTGAACAAATAAAGAGCAAGATATCAAGAGAGGTTGACTGGTCATGGTTTTTGTTGACATTTACCTTCATCTGAAACTTTCATTACTTTATAAGTTTGATTTGATAATTTGCTGCGGGGGATTATGTCACCTTAGTGACAATGCTTGCTATTATTATTTTGTGCATGTGTTATCAGTCAGACTCATTTTGTGCATGTGTTAGACATATTTTGTGCATGTGTTATCAGTGAGACACATTTTGTGCATGTGTTATCAGTGAGACACATTTTGTGCATGTGTTATCAGTGAGACATATTTTGTGCATGGGTCAGTCAGTCAGACACATTTTGTGCATGCATACATGTGATTTGTACAATTTCAATATTACAAGTTTTCTGCAGGGAACATGAGGAGGTTCCTCCCTTGGATCCGAGACAACTTGCTGCAGGAACGTCCAGAATTGTTTATGCAAGGGGAAACTGTGTAAGTGTGGTCACAATGGTTACCTCTATGGTGTAAACATTAAACGATGTGTAGTAGCCATTTATTATTAACTATGAATATATTGAAATATGACAGTTGTTGCATGGTTGTCCTTGACAGTGCAAATCAGAACAAGTGTACTAAACAAGTGATGTATATGACTTCGTTTCCATGGTAATCTCATGTTATGTTTGTCTTGGTGTCCAAGATTTGCCCTACTTATTTTTGTGGGTGATCCTGTATGATACTGTGGGTGATGCTGTATGATACTGTGGGTGATGCTGTATGATACTGTGGGTGATCCTGTATGATACTGTGGGTGATCCTGTATGATACTGTGGGTGATGCTGTATGATACTGTGGGTGATGCTGTATGCCACTGTGGGTGATGCTGTATGATACTGTGGGTGATGCTGTATGCCACTGTGGGTGATGCTGTATGATACTGTGGGTGATGCTGTATGCCACTGTGGGTGATGCTGTATGATACTGTGGGTGATGCTGTATGATACTGTGGGTGATGCTGTATGACACTGTGGGTGATGCTGTATGATACTGTGGGTGATGCTGTATGATACTGTGGGTGATGCTGTATGACACTGTGGGTGATGCTGTATGATACTGTGGGTGATCCTGTATGATACTGTGGGTGATGCTGTATGCCACAATATTGTATGATTCCTGTATGACACTGTGGGTGATCCTGTATGATACTGTGGGTGATGCTGTATGACCACTATGGGTGATGCTGTATGACACTGTGGGTGATGCTGTATGATACTGTGGGTGATGCTGTATGCCACTGTTGGTGATGCTGTATGACACTGTGGGTGATGCAATATGATACTCCAGGGTGATACTGTATGATACTGTGGGCGATGCTGTATGATATGGGTGATGCTGTAATGACACTGTGGGTGATGCTGTATGATACTGTGGGTGATGCTGTATGCCACTGTGGGTGATGCTATATGATACTGTGGGTGATGCTGTATGATACTGTGGGTGATGCTGTATGATACTGTGGGTGATGCTGTATGATACTGTGGGTGATGCTGTATGACACTGTGGGTGATGCTGTATGACACTGACAATCCTGTGATACCGGACAATGTATGACATCCAGGGTGATACTGTATGATACGGTTGATTGCTGTGGATATGGGTGATGCTGTATGATACTGTGGGTGATGCTGTATGATACTGTGGGTGATCCTGTATGACACTGTGGGTGATGCTGTATGATACTGTGGGTGATGCTGTATGACACTGTGGGTGATGCTGTATGATACTGTGGGTGATGCTGTATGATACTGTGGGTGATGCTGTATGATACTGTGGGTGATGCTGTATGATACTGTTGGTGATGCTGATGCTGTATGCTGTATGCCACTGTGGGTGATGCTGTATGATACTGTGGGTGATGCTGTATGATACTGTGGGTGATCCTGTATGATACTGTGGGTGATGCTGTATGATACTGTGGGTGATGCTGTATGATACTGTGGGTGATCCTGTATGATACTGTGGGTGATGCTGTATGATACTGTGGGTGATGCTGTATGACACTGTGGGTGATGCTGTATGATACTGTGGGTGATGCTGTATGATACTGTGGGTGATGCTGTATGATACTGTGGGTGATGCTGTATGATACTGTTGGTGATGCTGTATGACTTCGTGGGTGATGCTGTATGACACTGTGGGTGATGCTGTATGATACTGTGGGTGATGCTGTATGACACTGTGGGTGATGCTGTATGATACTGTGGGTGATGCTGTATGACACTGTGGGTGATGCTGTATGACACTGACAACAATGCTGTATGATACGATTGACAATACTGTATGACATCCAGGGTGATACTGTATGATACTGTGGGTGATGTGTGATATGATGCTGTTTGACACTGTGGGTGATGCTGTATGATACTGTGGGTGATGCTGTGTGATACTGTGGGTGATGCTGTATGACGTGGGTGATGCTGTATGATACTGTGGGTGATGCTGTATGACCCTGTGGGTGATGCTGAATGACACTGTGGGTGATGCTGTATGATACTGTGGGTGATGCTGTATGATACTGTAGGTGATGCTGTATGCCACTGTGGGTGATGCTGTATGATACTGTGGGTGATGCTGTATGATACTGTGGGTGATGCTGTATGATACTGTGGGTGATCCTGTATGATACTGTGGGTGATGCTGTATGATACTGTGGGTGATCCTGTATGATACTGTGGGTGATGCTGTATGATACTGTGGGTGATCCTGTATGATACTGTGGGTGATGCTGTATGACACTGTGGGTGATGCTGTATGATACCATGTGGATGATGCTGTATGATACTGTGGGTGATGCTGTATGATACTGTGGGTGATGCTGTATGATACTGTGGGTGATGCTGTATGATACTGTGGGTGATGCTGTATGATACTGTGGGTGATGCTGTATGATACTGTGGGTGATGCTGTATGATACTGTGGGTGATGCTGTATGATACTGTGGGTGATGCTGTATGCTGTGTGGGTGATGCTGTATGACACTGTGGTACAATGCTGTATGATACTGTGGGTGATGCTGTATGACACTGTGGGTGATGCTGTATGATACTGTGGGTGATGTAAGTGATACTGTGGGTGATGCTGTATGATACTGTGGGTGATGCTGTATGATACTGTGGGTGATGCTGTATGATACTGTGGGTGATGCTGTATGATACTGTGGGTGATGCTGTATGATACTGTGGGTGATGCTGTATGATACTGTGGTGATGCTGTATGATACTGTGGGTGATGCTGTATGATACTTGTGATGCTGTATGATACTGTGGGTGATGCTGTATGATACTGTGGGTGATGCTGTATGCCACTGTGGGTGATGCTGTATGATACTGTGGGTGATGCTGTATGACACTGTGGGTGATGATCCTGTATGATACTGTGGGTGATGCTGTATGATACTGTGGGTGATCCTGTATGATACTGTGGGTGATGCTGTATGATACTGTGGGTGATGCTGTATGATACTGTGGGTGATGCTGTATGATACTGTGGGTGATGCTGTATGATACTGTGGGTGATGCTGTATGATACTGTGGGTGATGCTGTATGATACTGTGGGTGATGCTGTATGATACTGTGGGTGATGCTGTATGACACTGTGGGTGATGCTGTATGACAATGTGGGTGATGCTGTATGATACTGTGGGTGATGCTGTATGATACTGTGGGTGATGCTGTATGATACTGTGGGTGATGCTGTATGATACTGTGGGTGATGCTGTATGATACTGTGGGTGATGCTGTATGATACTGTGGGTGATGCTGTATGATACTGTGGGTGATGCTGTATGATACTGTGGGTGATGCTGTATGATACTGTGGGTGATGCTGTATGATACTGTGGGTGATGCTGTATGATACTGTGGGTGATGCTGTATGATACTGTTGGTGATGCTGTATGATACTGTGGGATGCTGCTGACATGATGCTGTGGGGCTTTGTGGGTGATACTGTATGATGATGCAATGCTGTATGATACTCAGGGTGATACTGTATGCCATTCAGGGTGATGCTGTATGACACTGTGGGTGATGCTGTATGACACTGTGGGCTGTATGACTGTATGTATGACACTGTGCGGGTGATGCTTCTCTTTGATTGTATAAATTGTTTTCATGACTGTATGGCTGACTGTATTGTGATGCTGACATTAAATATTAACTTGATGCTGTATGATACTGTGGGTGATGCTGTATGATACTGTGGGTGATGCTGAATGACACTGTGGGTGATGCTGTATGATACTGTGGGTGATGATGTATGATACTGTGGGTGATGCTGTATGACACTGACAACAATGCTGTATGATACGATTGACAATACTGTATGACATCCAGGGTGATACTGTATGATACGGTTGACGTTGCTGTATGATATGGGTGATGCTGTTTGACACTGTGGGTGATGCTGTATGACACTGTCGATGATGCTGTGTTTTGTCATACAGGCGACCAGGAATCCTAGTTCTGGTGAACGATGCTGACTGGGAACTGATGGTGAGTGTGATCTCAATGATGTTAACACCAGTGAAGGTATGGGTTAGAATGAACCTTCAGTAATCCATGCTTGTCGTAAGAGGCTACTAACGGATCGGTGGTCAGGCTCGCTGGCTTGGTTGACACATATCATCGGTTCCCAATTGCACAGATCGATGCTCATGCTGCTGATCACTGGATTGTCTGGTCCAGACTCGATTATTTACAGACCGCCGCCATATAGCTGGAATATTGCTGAGTGCGGCATAAAACTAAACTCACTCACTCACTCAATGATGTTAATACATGCTTACATCATCACCTATAGCTCCAGGGCTGGCATTTTGCTTGAACCAACACTCACCCCTGGATCAATTTCCACAAATCTCACAATGTCAAATTACCTGCCCTTAATTCCCAATTGCTTATTTCATTGGTTAGTCCGCAGTGTCTAACATACCAATAAGATTTCAAGTTAAAACCAGCATTAATGTAGGGTTGTCAATATCAACAACACAAGGCATCCCATGATTATTATCATACAAAACAATTGCAAGAAATTTAGAATTGAAAAATGACTGACACGCAAAGAAAGCCACAAAAAACTTTGGGGATGGAAGGATCTGTCTGTGTCCATTAGAACTGGTGAAGTCTTTGGTTTCTAGTTAATACAAGTTACCTCCCTCCCCCTTTCCCTGATGTCAGTGTCAGATTGCTCAGTCAGCAAAAACCAAAGGCTGGTACTTTAGCGATTGTGAAAAACACTGGAATGATCCAGGGCTTAGTGTAGGTTTCCTAGAATATCATCCCAGCAGATACAGAGGTTAATCACCTGGCTGGTCATAATAGCAATTGGATAGATGAGATTGTCACAGTCTTTTACTCGGCTGAGAGCTTGAATTTCTGCTCATAATATCAGTCACTGGATTGTCTGGTCCAGCCTTGATTACAGACTGCTGTGATGTAGTTGGAATATTGCTGGTGTGCCTTGCTCAACATGAACAAACAAGTACCTGTGCAAGACCAGTCACCTCAGTGTAGTCAGTGCTTGTCAAGGGGGAGACTCAACCTGTACAGGACCAGTCACCATGACCACATGACATTGACCTCCAGAGGGTAGTCAGTGCTTGTCAAGGGGGAGACTCAACCTGTACAGGACCAGTCACCATGACCACATGACATTGAGTGTAGATCTCCAGAGGGTGAGGGGAGACTCAACCTGTACAGGACCAGTCACCATGACCTCCTCCAGAGGGGTAGTCAGTGCTTGTCAAGGGGGAGACTCAACCTGTACAGGACCAGTCACCATGACCACATGACATTGAGTGTGAGACCTCCAGAGGGTAGTCAGTGCTTGTCAAGGGGGAGACTCAACCTGTACAGGACCAGTCACCATGACCACATGACATTGAGTGTGAGACCTCCAGAGGGTAGTCAGTGCTTGTCAAGGGGGAGACTCAACCTGTACAGGACCAGTCACCATGACCACATGACATTGAGTGTGAGACTCCAGAGGGTAGTCAGTGCTTGTCAAGGGGAGACTCAACCTGTACAGGACCAGTCACCATGACCACATGACACTTGAGTGAGACCTCCAGAGGTGGTCAGTGCTTGTCAAGGGGAGACTCAACCTGTACAGGACCAGTCACCATGACCACATGACATTGAGTGAGACCTCCAGAGGTAGTCAGTGCTTGTCAAGGGGGAGACTCAACCTGTACAGGACCAGTCACCATGACCACATGACATTGAGTGTGAGACCTCCAGAGGGTGGTCAGTGCTTGTCAAGGGGGAGACTCAACCTGTACAGGACCAGTCACCATGACCACATGACATTGAGTGTGAGACCTCCAGAGGGTGGTCAGTGCTTGTCAAGGGGGAGACTCAACCTGTACAGGACCAGTCACCATGACCACATGACATTGAGTGAGACCTCCAGAGGGTGGTCAGTGCTTGTCAAGGGGGAGACTCAACCTGTACAGGACCAGTCACCATGACCACATGACACTGAGTGTGAGACCTCCAGAGGGTGGTCAGTGCTTGTCAAGGGGGAGACTCAACCTGTACAGGACCAGTCACCATGACCACATGACACTGAGTGTGAGACCTCCAGAGGGTGGTCAGTGCTTGTCAAGGGGGAGACTCAACCTGTACGGGACCAGTCACCATGACCACATGACACTGAGTGTGAGACCTCCAGAGGGTGGTCAGTGCTTGTCAAGGGGGAGACTCAACCTGTACAGGACCAGTCACCATGACCACATGACATTGAGTGAGACCTCCAGAGGGTGGTCAGTGCTTGTCAAGGGGGAGACTCAACCTGTACAGGACCAGTCACCATGACCACATGACATTGAGTGTGAGACCTCCAGAGGGTGGTCAGTGCTTGTCAAGGGGGAGACTCAACCTGTACAGGACCAGTCACCATGACCACATGACATTGAGTGAGACCTCCAGAGGGTGGTCAGTGCTTGTCAAGGGGGAGACTCAACCTGTACAGGACCAGTCACCATGACCACATGACACTGAGTGTGAGACCTCCAGAGGGTGGTCAGTGCTTGTCAAGGGGGAGACTCAACCTCTGATCATGCTCCAGATGGATTTCATCGATTGTAAGAACGAACTGTTTCTGCAGAGTACAAACATTATTCAGCAGAGATTGAGATCTTTCAAGTTAATGATAAATCCAGTCTCATTAAGACCGGATGTTTTACTCCAATTTGAAACATTTCTCAGTTTAAGGGAATCATTTGTCAAGTTGGTTGGAGTAGGTCTTGACAGGCTTTAAAGGATGTTTTGACATCATTACCTCCATAGACTTGTTAGTTATTTAAAAGCTGCAATCAGCAGTTTTCAAACTATACATGACAGCAGTCTGTAAATGATAGTCTAGACTAGACAATCAAGTGACTGAAAACATGAGCATTGATTTATGGAAATGGGATACATTGATTTGACTACCCAATCCCATTAGTCGTCTCTTACTGGATGGACTGTAGCGCTATACAAATACCCATAAAACAAAACACACACACACACACACACACACACACACAGAGAAGAGCAATTCTAACCTGGATCTTATGTCAGTTCCATGAACTAATGTTCCGTTGAAAATCTGAGAAACCGCCTTAATGAACCGATAACTTGATGAAGCTATCTTGGAACGGTGTTTTCATTTGAATGAGATTGTTTATAGATCATGATATACATCCTGATATATGGAGAGAAGCCCATATTCAAGTGTGTTGTTGTTTTACCTGATACAGGGAGAGCTGGACTACGAACTTCAGGACAATGACAGGATCGTGTTTATCTCGACCCTACACGGAGGCTGACTGACCGATGGGCGTCTCGGAACATCTCAGTTGGGATATGACGGTGTGAATGTGGCAGTGTGAATGTTTCACATTTCAGAGTGAATGTTTCACATTTCAGAGTGAATGTTACACATGTCAGTGTGAATGTTTCACATTTCATTGATCATGTAAAATATCTCATGATGAGGATATGTGCAAACCTTTAACACTCTGAATGGCGAAAGGTAATATCTAGGATACTGTCAGTAATTTTGCTGGAGTGTGACAAGAGGACTGTAAAGCTCATGAATACTGTCCTGAGAACCCTGTGGAGCCTGGGTTAGAGACTGTCCCCTTGATGTACAGAGGTGGATCAATGACAAAGTATGAATGAACAATATAACAAGTTACTTAGGTGTGATTTCACAGCAGTCCCTCCCCCCCCCTGTACATGTACAAAATTGATGACCCCTACCTCTCCAACAGAAAATGGGTGACCCCTTTAAAATCATCAACCACACACACACACACACACAACTCTCTCCCACCCACCCAACCCCCAAACCATGAATTATGAACGGTCCCTAACCTCAACCATCCTCGATAATCTCCAGGATATACATTACGATCACTCTCCACTACACCTTGGATGCATTCACAGCTTGGCCCGATAATTATATTGCCTCCCTTTGCTGGCTCCGCATTCTTACAGTAGCCAACCAGCTAAGCTGCCGTTACATCCGAGCTTGCCAGTGTCAACAAAGATAGCAGTCGCAGTCGCGAAGGTTTGTTCGCAGTGCCACTCAGATTTTTGAGGAAATAATACAGACAAATTGACAGATCTGAAACTTTAAAAAAATATATAAAATAACTCCTTCTACCTCTTTCAGAGTACCTCTGCATCAATTGTGTTGCCAAGTTTAAACAGTTAGATATTTTAAGAAGCGAAAGTGAGTTGTGATTGGTTTGCTCAACTTCCCAGCGTAGACACCTGATTGGATAAGAAGCCAGCCAAGGGAGGTAATAAAATCATCGGGCCAAGCTGTGGATGCATCCAGGGTATAGTGGAGGGTGATCGTAACGTATACCCTGGAGATTATCGAGGATGAACCTCAACAGAAGTATCTCAAATCTTTGCGGTTAATTAATTACAACACTGAATCAGAGAATCACACATAGTAAGTGCAGGGGTCGATTTAAGGAAATGAACCTACTTGCACCCAGTGCAACCTAAGGCAATCACTTTGTTGCACCAAACAAAAACAGGCTGCATCTCCTGCTTTTACATTGTATATATTGCTTGAGTTTTGGTAAAAACGGTTTAGAACCGTATTATGACAAAAGAAATCTGTAGTTATCTTACTTCCTAAACTTTCATGAGCAGTAAGTCCTTCAGTCACTGTTCCTACAATAATCAGAGTCACTGTTCCAAGTCAGTTCCTCATCATTCTGTTTTCCAGCTGAAGTCTGTGTTCTTTGAACACAAAATATTAACATGCACTGGGTGCAAGTTGATATACATAAGAGGTTGCATTTAGTAGTTTCAGGTTGCACCAGTGCAAGTTCTAAATGCTTAAATCGAGCCCTGGTAAGTGTATTGTACTTTTGTTACTGGGAGCATTACATCCTCCCATTCACTGACTCTCATCATCATCATCATCATCATCATCAATTGAATAAAGTGGGTGAACATGGATAAGACGTTGTGTCATCAGTCAACCTTAATACAAAATTTGGATAGTACAAAGTTTTGGATTTGAGCACATACCCTCTGAAGGAGGCACTCTCTGAATTGCACCTAAGCTCCAAAACTACTACAATTAACTTATAAAATATAGTCCCAAATATAACATTTGTTACATTTGACTACTTTCTGAGAGTCTTTGTGTATTCATAGCTTTAGGCCCTTTGGACTCTTGTCAATTTATGATTGTGAGAGGGTTAGACAAAACTCATGGTGTTCACTACCAGTTGTCAGGTGAACTTTGAGCTGTCTCTGTCGATGAGAAGGTTAGGTTGCAGTCTTTCATCTTCTGGAAACCTTGGTAACTGAGTAGACTATATCGTAACACATGTTATATTTGGGATTACACTTTCTTAGTAAAGTACAGATTCTAATACTTCTATTTAGGTTGAGTTCCATCCGGGATTCGAACCTTCGCTGTCAGATTCAGGCACCTAATTAGTACTTGTGTACCCCTAAGTTACATTTGACTACTTTCTAAATAGACTGCCTCCGTGGTGTAGTGGTTAGAGCATCCGCCCGGAGTGTGGAAGGTCGCGGGTTTGATCCCCACAGCGTGACGTGGTACTTGTTGGTCCCTGCCTGGCATTGATTCATGGGTACAACAAGGACTGGTCGGCTCGGAGTCAGTATAATGTGTCTGAGTGGGGTATTCATGCTTCACTGCAGCATGGTATCTCAGTGGGCTAGCACTATAAAACCAGCTTCAGTCTGGGCTGTACAAGCAGCCCTATACACATACACACGTTATGACAAATATTCTCAAGCACGACGTTAAACCCAATTCCACCACCACCACCACCACTTTCTAAATGACATTGTGTGTTCAGATAGCTTTTGGCCATGGGAGCCATGTCAATTTCCACTTGTAAGAGGGGTACAAACTTTCTAAATGGAATCTTGTATTCATAGATTGGTGCCTTTGTGTTTTTGCAGTTTGGTGCCTCAGTATGAGAGTGTAATTTCTGGATGAGGTGCAGCCCTTAAAAGTACAAGAACTTGTACTTTACTAAGGGACCATTAATTTATGGCTGTTGTGCATGCGTGCAATGATTTTAAGAGGGGATCACCCATTTTGTTCTAGGGAGGTAGGAGGGGTCATCAATTTTGTACACATAGGGGGGTCAGCAATTATGTACATAAAAATATTAAACATTTACGTTTTATAATTATGGGAAAGTGTGTGTGTGTGGGGGGGGGGGTGTCATTGAGTTTGCACATGACATGCTGTTTGGGTGCGTGGGGAGGGTGTGTGTCACTTTGGGGGAGGCATTCACATTGTACATGCTTCTTCATAAAAATCATCATCCCCCTAGCCATACATTATGAACAGTTTCTAAGAACAGGGTTCCCACATATTTCTGGAAAAAAAATCATGATTTCATCCATTTTTTCAGTTCTTTGATTTTCCAAGACTGGTAAATGGTATGTGACATTTCCAGGTTTTCCAGGTCTTGTGGGAACTCTGAAGACAGTTTTATCCCATGGAAAGAATTTGTTCCATGTGGTCATGAGTTTTACCAAAGTGGTAAACATCCAACAACTGCATCACTTGGGCTTTTATTTCCACATCAAGCCAAGCCGTGAATTGGCTGATCACATCGCTACCCAGTGCTTTGAATCATTGCTCACACTCTCAAGCACTGGATTGTCTGTTCCAGACCAGGGCCCACTTGCACAAAGTGATCTCAGCAGTGTGGGGATTCGAACCCGGTCTGATCGGAACTCAAACTCATACTCTAACATAGACTAAAGACTGTCTTAGCACTAAGTTTTTTCGAGAATCGGAGCATTGCTTTGTGCAAGTGGGCACCGGTTGTGTACAGACTGCAGTCATAAGATTTGGAGGATTGTTGAACAGCAAACAAGGAAATAGTCCAAGACATTTATTTCCCCCACTATCAGGGCACTGTCAGATATATGCACATTTACAAATTGAGGGAATACACTAATATTTACAACATTATATACACATTGTTGAACAGCAAACAACAAGGAAATAGTCCAAGACATTTATTTCCCCCACTATCAGGGCACTGTCAGATATATGTACATTTACAAATTGAGGGAATTCCCTAATATTTACAACATTATATACACATTGTATCACAGTAACACAGGTTCTTCATCACTATGTCTTGCAATGATGTTAAACACTATTGACACATCAGCAACTTGGCTCCGTAAAATACACCTGTCAAATATTGATACATAATGCAGCACTTCTGTCATGTTACGACATGTATCATGACTTGAACTTTATTGAAATTACATTTAGTATCTGTTCAATATGACTTAATAAACAAGATAAATCAATTAACCAGTTTGTCTTGTCTGAAGCTCATCCAAACAGTTTTAAGCAATCGGATTCATTTCTGTTTATGATGGTGGTACGTAATACTGAGCTAAAAAGTTATTCTGAAAGTATGATATGTTACTTTGAAAGTAATATGGAATGAAGTAACAAATGGATGCATGGGTAGGCATATCATGTACAATACCATCATGATACACTGGTACATCGTGATCCCCCTATAAGCAACTGTAGATGTAGACAAGATGGTGGATGTTGATCACTATCCTGGGTCGAGCAGGGACGAGGAGCAGTGAAGACATGGATCCTGTTGAATGCTGTCTACTTACTTTTTTTCTGTCCTTTCCCCTGCTGCAAGAGAACAAAGTAATGTAATGTGAAGCTGTGGTGACAGGTTTGGGGTGATAGGGGAGACATGGAGTCTTTATTCTGTAGATAAAGTGTCTAGTCCCACTGCAAACACTATATTTATTTGCTTTACTTACTTAATTAACTGACAATACAATATAACAACAATATGATAATGATAACTGATTTCTGTCCTGAAGAAAATCGTATGGATCACACTCACCCACACCTGGCAAACAATAGAAAATGTTTGGGGACTTATGAAGGCAAGTGTCAATAAGAAAAATCTGACAAATATTGCTGAAATGAAAGAAGAGGTGGTCTGATATTGGGACAGCATGGACCGCGACTTTCTAACTTCTTTGATCAGTAGTATGCCGCGCCGCATTGAAGCCTGCATTGCTGCCTATGGTGACTCGACAAAATACTAGCTGTTCACCTGTCTTTGAATATGGAGTTATGTTCTGCTAATATTCACATTTAATACGTGAGTAATGAGTGAAAGAAAATATAAAAAATTACAATCTTTGATTTTTCTCAATAATTTCTGGTTGTACTGTATAAACAGCTGCACTATATGTGCTTACATCAATGCCTAATAAATACTGGCATATATACAGCTGCATTATTTGTTATACATACATATACTACCCATCAAAAGTTTAGACTCACTTAAAGCACTGACTATATGTTATGTATATATATATGTGGTTACATAGAAGAATGTATTTCTCCACTAACTTGAGGGAACCAACTGCAAACCTTATGCAGATGAATTGCATGAGGATCATGCATCAATTTGGTGAAAAGCATGTGCAAATATTGTGCATGTGAACAGCTGTGTTTTGGTGTAATGTTTTGTTAAAATTCACCAATTGTCACTGAGTTTCATCATTTATTGAACTCATGACAATAATCTTGTTACGTTACGAATTTGTACATCAGTACATGTGTAAACAGCACCTTTAAACAGTATGGAATATTTTGCAAAATCTAGTTTAGAACAGTTGACTGAAGTAAGTGGCTACAGTTACACTAGTGAGTCTAAACTTTTGATGAGTAGTATGTATATATATATATATATATATAGCTGCACTATATGTGTTTACAGCAATGCGCAATAAATACTGGCATATAAATACAGCTGCATTATGTGTTGATGGTGATTCCTGATTATACAAGTATATATACAGCTGCACTACAAGTGATGACAGTAATACTTGATTTTACATACATTTATTACTCATCCGTTGAATATATCACTGTTTAATATATCTACAATGTTATTACACATTGTGTAATACCATCGCATGATGCAGGACATATTACATCATAATGGTTTACGGTAATGACGTCACAATGCTAATACCTCTGTCACAATGGTATTTGACCTTGTTTGATTCGCGGAAAGCTGAGAGTCATCAAACCGTCATCACACTGTAGGCAGTTTCTATCAATTTATGTTTGAGAGTAATAAACAGAATACTAAACTCACTTCCGTGAAATACCATTTTTATAAAACTCGTGAAAGATGATACCAAATCAATAACTCGTTTAATAAAAATGGTATTACAGGGAAGGTCGTTTAGCATCCTCTATATATACAGCCGCACTATATGTGCTCACAGCAATGCCTGATTAATACTGGCATTTATCTCACCTTTATGTAAAATACTTTAATTTCAAAATGGTCCATGACGCTTTAACAACTTTCCAAGTCACCCCTCCCAGGAAGGTGACATGTAACTGGCAAATATATTACCTGCTGCCATGGTAACCACCAAACTCTGCTGAGAAGCAGTATCGCTACCAATCGTATATGATGTCATAATATGACGCATGCAGTGCACAGAGTTCGAAAACAGTTCACTATGTAAACATTTATTTTACCAACTTTCACTGCGTTATTTAAACTATTTCATACATTGCATCGTTTGCACACTCAACTTAAACATAATTAACTATTTTTATAGCAGTTTTAAGAGTGTCAGCTAGAATATGTTCCACTGATTTTAAAAATCCAGGCGAGAGGCAGACGCCATTTTGTTTATAGTCAGTAGCGAGCTTATCGATCTTCAAAATAAAATAAAATGATATTTTGTAAATTTAACATGGCGGTAAGATAAATACATTGTAAACTTCTCCCTCAGGGTAATACGGCCTGATGTACGCATCTCTGTAGCTGTGTTATCCCTCGCCAACTGGCTCTGGTTACAAAAAGGCGTACATAAGACCGTATAACCCTCAGGAGATGCATACAACTTATACATGTAATATACAGCTGCATTATGTGGTGATGGTGATGCCTGATTTTACATACATATATACAGCTGTACTATGTGGTGATGGTGATGCCTCAGATTATACATGCATATGTACAGCTGTACTTTGTGGTGATGGTGATGCCTGATTATACAAGCATATATACAGCTGTACTTTGTGGTGATGGTGATGCCTGATTATACAAGCATATATACAGCTGTACTGTGTGGTGATGGTGATGCCTGATTTTACATACATATATACAGCTGTACTGTGTGGTGATGGTGATGCCTGATTTTACATACATATATACAGCTGTACTGTGTGGTGATGGTGATGCCTGATTTTACATACATATATACAGCTGTACTGTGTGGTGATGGTGATGCCTGATTTTACATACATATATACAGCTGTACTGTGTGGTGATGGTGATGCCTGATTTTACATACATATATACAGCTGTACTGTGTGGTGGTGGTGATGCCTGATTTTACATACATATATACAGCTGTACTGATGTGGTGATGGTGATGCCTGATTATACATACATATATACAGCTGCACTACAAGTGATGACAGTGATAGTTGATTCAACATGCATGTATACAGCTGCTCTATATGTTGACAGGGGTGCCTGAATATACATGCATATGTACAGCTGTACTACAGGTGTTTTGCTACTGACACATCTTAATGCAACTGGAAACGGCCTGCTACTACAGCCACACGTTACAAGTGGGCGGGTCATGAGAGTGGAGAGGTTTTGCCTGATTCACAATTACTGGAGAAATCAGAGACACAGTCAGTCCTGTGATGAAGCATCAAATGTTTAGTCATTAATGCAATAAGTAAACAGTTGAGAATTTTGTAATTTTGTCTAAAACCCAGGGGCCTATGATTACAGAAATAGAAGTCGACTGTATCTACCAGGGAGGGATATTCCAGTGGACAGTCTCTACAACTACTAAACAATGAAAGTACAAGTCTTCCTTTATTTATTTCCAGGCTTTTATAGAGCTGTATACAAAGCTTGTGAAGAAACCTGGAAAAGAATAAAGGAACGCCTGTGCCTTCATGTGTTCCCTTACTTGTTTCCACCAGTATATTTTTCAATGTCCAAACAGTTTTGATTAAAAAAAGCACCACACTCAGCACACAGACCTGCTGTAGGATCTTTTATTGTTGAAGGGATGGCTCATCACACTTTGACCAAGGTTTGATTCTCAGAAGAGCATAACAGAACCATTGAACATAGCTAAGTGGTGCTCCCTACTTACAGACACAAATTGCTAGCAGATTGCAGTCTGTGACTTTAACCATTGTCCCAAAGCCAAGTCTAGTAAAATTCTGTTTTGTCCAGTAAGTTCTGCCAACAGTAGCCCCTATGATAACACTAACCTGTACTTAAAATGATTCTAACAGCCACATTTGGACTACTTCTGGAAGACCCAAACATTATTGGCACAGACAGACACTAGGCACAGGTGTGTCAAGAGTTATCACACAGATGAAATCTTCAGTCATATGGACAAAGCGTCCATGCTCGATTGAGCCATTCAGAAATGTAATGGCTGCCAGAGAGTGGAAATGTCCACTTTGAACACATACACAAGATACTGTGTTAGATGTACACAGAACACAAGTTTTCATATAGTTCCTTAAAGGCACAATGTCACACATTTTCTACAATATTTTGGCCTATATTATTATATTGGGGCATATGCATTCACCTTAGCTTCCTATTGACCCAATAAAAGACTTATTATCACTTACGACTTGAGTGAAATAAATAATTCAAACTTCGAGGCGAACAGCTTGCTAACAGAGAACACTTGCCATATATGGAACTTAAACAATTGCTCTGTACATCAAACATGTCGTACGCTGTGTTGTCAGTGTTTGCCGAACTGGTTTCAATCACAAGTTGTGCGTAGCATATTCATAAAGAGCTCCAAGGGACATAACTCTATGGGGTTCGCTTGAAATAATGTTCGGCCTGTAGAGGGCGCGAGAGTTGTTATAATGCAATGTTGCATTAATTCATTCGAACTTTTTAATTCAATATTGTAATCTAAATACATAATTTGGGGGGGGGATAAATTATATGGTAGCTTCCCTGAGGGCTGATAGTTAGTATTATTGAGTGAAATGCATTATTTATTTTAGAGAAGTGTAGTGTGATATAGTGTCTATAATATTATTTATTTCCATGGTATTCAAAAATGTCCTCAGGCAGAACAGGTGATGTACTGCCTACCAACAATAATATCCTGTCTCCATGCCACAGCTGATCAGATGCTGTTATAATCTGTACACATCAATAAATTAAACAACTATTGATGTAAATTATCCACTTTTCTCAGTACCAGTATCTGAGTAGCTTTCTAGGAGAATACAGCTGCCTGTATTCGAAATACCCTGCCTGCCAGGGACGGGCTATTTTCAACACGGACTGCCAGTTTCTCCAATTCACCTGCCCGACGGTCAGGTTAAAATTTAGACATGTATTTGAAGATATTTTATGGGCAGGTAAGTTTTGGTCCGGGCTGGCAACTTTTACATCTAACCAGCCCTGTGGTCTGGCTGAAATTTTTGGGAGTGTGATACCCTGATACTCGGAGCAGCAGTAAAACAGGATCTTCTAAAAGAGTTCATTATTATAGACTGTTTGCTTTACAGGAAGACAGCATGAGGGAGTGAATATAGTGGAAAAGCTGCAGTCCACAATACCTGTGACCTGTAAATAATATAGTCTTTCCCAGGCAAACCAGTGGTGGATAGCATGAGTGATAAACCAAGCTGCCAGGCCAAATGTCACATCACGGAGTCAGGCTGATTCTGACCACTGCTATTCAAATGCAGCTTTTACAATAAGCACAGGGTACTGAGGAGTTTATATGCTAGAAACCACATGGGGATGTTTTGGAGATGTTATGATGTTATAGTCAAGCAGAAAGTTATTAGTTCACACCCAGATTATTTCCAGTAGCATAACAGACAGCTGTGTAAACAACACACTCGCAAGTCACACAACTTACGTCTTTTTCTGGACCTTGTAACACAAAAACAAAGAGACACTGTTAGGCAAATGTGCATGTCCATAAAGACTACGGTACCTAGCTTAGAGGCTATTTTGGGATGGATACAAATTGTTAGAAATATTTTGAAATCAGTGCAGTTAAAAAAGTATGAATTCTACTGAACAAAAAGAAGAACATAGTAGCATATCTCTGGTGTCTAGGACAGTGTGTGAAATAGTTTCCAAATTTTGTTAGCCAGTCGGGCTAGCTGTGCCTGAAAGTAACACTAGCCCACAAAATAATTCACTAGCCCGAAATTTGCATGTAGCAACTGAGCAAAAGATTAGAAAAAGAGATGAGAATAAGATATTGTCGGCATGACACAGGTTTCATCATTAAGCTGCTTATATGATGAACATTTTTATCAGGCCATAATCTTGCAGGATCTAAAAGTTTATTATAACTTAACAAGCCGAAGAGAGTGATATATTTACAAAATGACCCCATGAACATTTACTAGCCAGTCGGGCCAGTGACTGTGGAAATTTACTGGCCTGACTGAATTTTTACTAGCCACGGGCTAGCGGGCCAGTGGCTATTTCGCACACTGGTCTAGGATTACACAACCTGAGCTTGGAGGGGTGCTTCATACAAATTTGTTTAGTTAATTTATTTCTCTGATGAGGACAACCATTTAAAGCAAGAAAGAAAACTTGTTTTGTCCCACAGAAATGTAAAATGGCACATTAAAAGAAAAAACATGAAGTTTTTGAAAGTCACTGGGTCAATGAGCAGTTTTTGCACAGGAGTAAGATTGATGGTACCTTTTAAAGAACCAAAGGGTTTAGGACATCAGTACTACATGGACCCAGGATATTCTTTAAATTCTACTCATATAAATAGATTCGAATTTACATAAATACAGCAGTGGAATAACTTACGAGGCTCTGCAATCTTCTGGAGAATTGGTGCCACTATCTCTTGGAGGGCTTGCTTCTGGACAATGAAGTCATGTGTGGTCGCATCCACTGTGCCTTCTACCCACTCATTCTTCTCCTTGCAGGAATTGACAGCCAGGTTCTAGGAATAAGCACATGATAACAACCATCATATACAGCCAGGAGAGGAATAACATCAAAGGCACAACACAACCAGTTTCTAGGGAGAGGAATAACATCCTACACATCACATAAATAGGTTCTTCTTAGAGGAATAACACCCTACACCCCACTCAACTCGATTTTAGGGAGAGGAATAACCTTAGATATGCCTCAAACAAATTCTTGGAAGGAGGAATAATGACACATATTCCCCATACAGGTTCAAGGGATTTGAATAACACCCTACACATCAGACAACCAGATATCTGGGGAGGGAATTACAACTTGCATAATATAGAAATAGCAGAGGCCCAGATAAGCTGCGTATCCGGGTAAAATATGCATAGAAAATTTCCAATTACGCATTGAAAAATAATTGTTACGTACCAATTACGCATTTAAAATGTTAGATACACAAAAAGTTTAAAACAAATGCGTACGGAATATATTCATAAAAATCGCTTTCGTAATGAAAAATACATTGACTGCTATCAAGTTGTACTGTTAGTATAGGACAAGTGTTGTACTGTCAGTATAGGATGAGTGATTTTTTATGAAATTATTTCCATTATATTTAAGTTGGTTTTGAGTAGGTATGACATAAGGCAGAACATACCTGCTTAGTAAACTTACTCAATGACTACAGTGGGTACAGTGCCCAGCACTGCCCACATGAGCTAAATCTTATCTGGAGCTCTGAAATAGATTCTGTTAAGAAGATTAACACCAAACACATCCTTACCAAAGGAAACATTACTCTATCATTGACTAGTCCTACCTTTTCATCCTTTGAAATTTTGCCTTGAATTTTCTCAGGATCAGTGACAGTTTCCTGAATTGATTTGATTGTCTCCACCAGCTGTACCCTGGCCTCTGTAACAGCAGGAACAACAGTTATAACCACTCAGTGTTGACCTGCAAGTCACATTGTGTGGAAAAGGGTTCAGCAGGGCTCCAGATAATTTTTCAACATCAGGAGTATGTACTCCTTATTTGTTCAATATAGGAGTACTGGAAAACCGTAAGTGTACATTTAGAGTACTGAATGGAAATTAATGGAGTATCAGTAATCTTGTGTTTTGTTTCATGCACCACAACATTGCTACTCTTGTGTAAACAGGTCAATAAACAGTAAAACAGTACTTTTTTCAGATAAATACGTTTGTAAATGATTCTAAGACCGTACACCATTGCTGTGGTGCGTATCTGTTATGTTTTCTAAAATATTTCCTAATGCATCATGCATATATTTTATCCGTACATACGCCAATATGGCCCTTATCTGGAGCCATGGTTCAGTGCCTTTTCTTAAATACTTTTGGAAATCATATGATTTACTTGTTGAACTTTCTGGCTTCTTAAAGTCACTCGTACATTCTACATCTCGACATATGTATTGCAACAAAGGGACGTCTGATAACGATCTCACTGATGGTTAATCACTTATCTACAACACAGTATATAACAAGTTTTATGGATAACAACTTCTTTATTTTCGTGAGTGCGACGTTTCGATACAGATTCTTGTACCGTTGTCAAGCAAGAGTGATACATGAAGTGTAGGAGCTGCATATATATACTGTATATAACAATGAAACAACATAATAGACAAAGGAAACAACATAATTGCCATGATTGGCTAAGCAGTAAGCTGATGAAGCCAGTAAGTACATAAAGGATAGTGAATGGAAGCCAGAGATGTAGTTACAATGAGATGTTTATACAATGGATGCGATGTTTATACAATAGACTGGGCTTGGTGGAGGAGTGGATCATAAGCAGATGGAATGAAGTATCCTTGGTCACGGTTGATGGTAGGCTTGTGGCGTTTGATGTGAATGGCTTCTGTGAGCTTGCGTTTAGTGAAGTCCGTTTGGTTGTTGGCGAGAATGGTGATGTCGGACCACTCTATTTGATGATTGGGGTTGGCTTTGATGTGGTCAGAGATAGCTGATTTGGTGTCGGAATTAGCAACAGAGGTGCGATGTTCTTTGACTCGGGTGTTGATGGGTCGGGATGTTTCACCTATGTAGCATTGTCCACAATCACAGTCTATTTTGTAAATAACACATTTCGGGTTGTTGTTGTTGACGGTGGGTTGTTTTCTTCCGTTGGCATGGAGGAGGTTGTTGAGGCTGGAGGACGCTGAGAAGGTAGTGTCTATTCCTGCCTGTTGTTTCAGGAGTCGGCTGATTTCACATAGGTGAAACATCCCGACCCATCAACACCCGAGTCAAAGAACATCGCACCTCTGTTGCTAATTCCGACACCAAATCAGCTATCTCTGACCACATCAAAGCCAACCCCAATCATCAAATAGAGTGGTCCGACATCACCATTCTCGCCAACAACCAAACGGACTTCACTAAACGCAAGCTCACAGAAGCCATTCACATCAAACGCCACAAGCCTACCATCAACCGTGACCAAGGATACTTCATTCCATCTGCTTATGATCCACTCCTCCACCAAGCCCAGTCTATTGTATAAACATCGCATCCATTGTATAAACATCTCATTGTAACTACATCTCTGGCTTCCATTCACTATCCTTTATGTACTTACTGGCTTCATCAGCTTACTGCTTAGCCAATCATGGCAATTATGTTGTTTCCTTTGTCTATTATGTTGTTTCATTGTTATATACAGTATATATATGCAGCTCCTACACTTCATGTATCACTCTTGCTTGACAACGGTACAAGAATCTGTATCGAAACGTCGCACTCACGAAAATAAAGAAGTTGTTATCCATAAAACTTGTTATATACTGTACGTCTCAACTTCTAAAATGCCACTCAAACAAGTTATCTACAACACCCCTGAATTTGATTCCTTTTCAAAACAAAATGTAAATATCATGCCATCCAAACATTGATGTTTGCACAATTAATGAGGTTGATGTACAAGGTTGGAGGATGTTTACACAAGAAGGCAATTGTTACACAAACAGAGTAAGCTATTCACATCAGGAGACTCCAACTGGCTATGAACAGAGACCGAGGATATTACATCCCCATTGCCTACAACCAACTCATCACCAAGCAATCTTAATCCCATTATTCTCCTGTCTGTCATATCACTGGCTTCCTCCCAATAATCCCCCATAGCTTACTCTGTTTGTGTAACTATTGCCTTCTTGTGTAAACATCCTCCAACCTTGTACATCAACCTCATTAATTATTATATTAAAGAAGTTGTATATCCATAGAACTCTCCTCATTGTTCATCACACCAACTTCTAAATGCCACTCAAACAAGTTACTAGTTATTCCTGCCTACCTGCCCAGTCCAGGTAATCCACACACTCAGCATTGTTGTACCTCTGTGCCGTCTCTCGAGCACGTTCTCCATGAGCATTACGTTGCTGCAGGTTGGCACTGAACTCCACCAGTACCTTCAGCACACCGATCCTCCCCCACGCTGCAGCATGATGCAGTGGGCAGTACCCTGTTGAATGTTACAGCAAGTTTATAAGATAAGTATTGATGTGAAAACAGGTTCAGTAGCTCATTCAAGATTACTTTGCTGTGCAGTGACGTGCATGTATATGGAACACAATGTTAAAATGCAATATTTAAACCTATGAAGAAAAAACAAAATAACATCTTTCTTTTTTCGCTAAAAATACCCACTGAGCTTAAAATATTGGATCATTAACTTAATGACAATATTCAGCTAAAGATTATGAAAGTTGTCACCAACAATAAAGAACTCAGTGTCCATAAAAGTTATAAGTGTTCAAATATTGAACAGTAAAAGACAAAATAGTATAGAGCTTAATAATTTATCATGTTGCAGACATCTGAATTGTCACTTCAGTTTAACTGATTATATATTCACTGAATAATAAGAAACATATTTTTCTAGAAGTGTGTAGTATACAGGTGATGTCACAGAGAAGAGGATGAGCGATTCTATATCCTTGTTTACTGGTAATGTGTGAAGCATTATTAATATCGAGCTTCTCCACCTTTTGCCGTCACATTGTTGATGTCAGCCCCTCTTTGCAATAATTCCCTTGTCATGTCAACCCTCCCAAGTGTGGCAGCAACATCTAACGGCGACTTTCCCTCTTCATCGCGTGTGTTCAAAAAGTCTGAAACGGTCTCCTTGAAAGGATCTTCGTCATCCTCAAAACATTTAACAAATCTTGTAACATCGTTCTTGTAAACACAATGCGTCACAATGTTAGTATCGGGAAGTAACACCTCTTCTTGTTTTTCCTCAGTTTGAGCCTCTTCCAGAGTCATTTTTAGGACTGTTTACGTTTTCCGCCACACGAGAAAGCGTCGTGTTACCCCAGCTACGAGTGACGTCAGATCCACTAAGGCGTTTTGTTACGCTGAATACGATTGGCTTAGAATAAGAATAGTTTCATTTATGGTAAGCTGAGAAGGCAATGACAAAAATCTACACATTCACGGCATATTTTATCATTTTGTAGTTCAGTTGTAGTTCAGAATGCGTATACGGCATACGAGATTGAATATCACGTCTATTATTTTAAATTAGTACAAACCGATTGTCGCAACGCAGTTTTGTTCAATATAAATTGTAGATTCCATGTTCTCTGGCGCAAAAACGGAAATTATTGTTAACCCACTTTAAAAGGTTCTTTAACATGGCAAATAAATGAGAAAAACAAATGTTATGTCTTCGAAAATATCTGCCTCACAACTGTGCCTATTATTAAACCAGTCACTTAAATATGACACTCAAATAGCCATTTATTCCATCACCACTTTCACGACAAATTCGCCAATGGTGCAACCAGAGACCATGTAATAGATCTATTATATGGTCTCTGATCTTAACAAAGAACATAAAACAAAGAATGGCAGACATGTAATCATCACTCTTTATTATTTCTTTTCAGAAAACGCATACACTTTTCGAGATTATTTCTATTCTATGGTCTCTGGTGCAACTGATCTGTCGGGGCAATTTAGTCATCATAATCTTTGGTCTTGTATAATGAAAATACACGAAATATCTACAGAAATGTGAACTGAAGAGGTACAGCTGATGTATAGCTATAAATATAAGTGACATGTAGTGAATATAATATTATCTATATTAGATTACATTAGAAAATAAATATTTGTCTCCGAATGTGACGGCGACTCACGTATGTGCATTTAAACCCAAACACATATAATTGTAGATGCTTGATTGGCATTTTAGAAGATGATATTTGATGAACATAGAGATTTGTTCTGGGTTAAAAGAATAAAAAGATGTAACCCAGAAAAAATCTCTATGTTCAACATATAATTGTGTTAAGAAAAATTAAAATGTTACATGTATTGAAGTTAGGGAGAGGAGAGAGAGCATGGAAAATGATACACACAATATGGACAGGGATTAGCGCTTATTTTTAGGTATTTGCTGTCGCACTTGTTTCCACGAAGCGCTCCGTTTTCGGCATTCGTTCCATCTTTTGTATGAAAACTCAGATGCCGGAAATCGTCCCGACTAAAATGTCGTCTTGAATGTTTCTTTTGCCCAATTTTGGTATGCATTACAAATTCTTTGCATATTTTGTAGTTTGAAAGCACAAAGTTGGTCAGAATATGTTTATACATTTTGTATTTATCCAGTAATTCGATATGGATGAGCAGCTACAAGTAATATCAAAGAAAGTGAAGTTTTACTTCCACTTCCAGTACGACAGATAAAAACTTAGATAGAGAAGTACTGATTTATCAATATCAATTGTTTTCAGGCAAATGTATTCCGGCGAATTACGTTCACAACATAGCCACAATCTTAAGATAGTATTTAGCGAAAGCTTATTCATATAAATCGAGAAAGGAGTACATTACGAAGACCCAGTATCAAAATCCAGGTTTCCAGTAAGTTGTAACCTGGACCGAGAAACGATATCTTTGGACGTTTATGTTCAACTGTTAATATCTTCTGTGGTACATGCCCATCCTACAATATCCTGCATATTATTTTGGAAAGAATTGAAAATTTATTACATGCTTTACCCTTTTATGTCATATTTCTCAGCTGATACAAAATAGTATCTTATACACCAGTAGAGAACAGCCTTTCATTCTAATCTAATGACAACTTCGATAGCTTTGCATGATTTCTACCAAGTACATAAACCCAATGCAAGTAAAGGTTTTGAATTTCAAGTCTAAATATCCAGTATAAGACTTTATCGCTAATTGAAACTAATAATAGAACATCAATAATTAATTGTCAGTGGCCAGTTGCAACTTCAAATGTCAATTCCTGTCACCTTGGTCACTCATACAGTTGTCAACTTAAGCATTTGTTAAGTTTGGAGTCTTGTGAAATAAGAGTAATCACAGGTCATTGTCATATTGCTAGAACAGCACCAAACAAACTATTCTTCATGTTCATGATGTAACTATTGGTTCTATTAATTCTGTTCCTCAGTACAAACAGACCAACCACGACCATGTCTACTGACCTATTGAAGCAAACCCACCAACTGCAGGTGGCTCGGTTCGAGACAGCCATGGACCGACCACCTTCCCCCTGCCCGACTGGCCTACACATCTGACAAACATCCCCGGCACACGCTAGAGGCGATCAACGTCCTACGCAAACACAGAGAACTTTGTGACGTTGTACTCATTGTGGGACAAAAGAAAATTTTCGCACACCGAGTAATTTTGTCAGCATGCAGCCCATACTTCCACGCCATGTTTACAGGCGAGTTGGCCGAAAGTCGACAGACAGAAGTGACGATACGAGATATAGATGAAACAGCTATGGAGTTGTTGATAGACTTTTGTTATACGTCTAACATCACTGTGGAAGAAAGCAATGTTCAGACACTCCTTCCTGCTGCTTGTCTGTTACAATTGGCCCGAAATACAAGATGTATGCTGTGAGTTCCTAAAACGACAACTGGACCCATCAAATTGTCTGGGAATACGAGCTTTTGCTGACACCCACGCCTGTCGGGACCTTCTCCGGATAGCAGATAAGTTTACGCAACACAACTTTCAGGAGGTGAGGTGTTAGGATAATCTTGATGGCATCTAGTTGTAAAGGATTCATTTGTTTTCAGATTTGCAGGTGTTATTGAGTATGCGCTGACATTTCTGCGCATCAGTTGATCATGTTGGTCATTATGATGACTATGTCATATTGCAATATACAGCAATACAGGTATCTGAAGATAAATATTTGGGCTCTGAAAACAGCAATCTCAAAGTTACTTGGATTGTCAGGGGACCTTTCTTTCTTTTTCATAAAATCAATAGTACAAAATGGGGGTCCAGGCACTTAAATATTATTATTTATACTGTTATTGTATTGTGTAATTAAATTGCAAATAATACCACAACCCAGCTAGTAGTAACTCAGTGATATGTAACTGTTACTTGATTGGAATTTTTACAAATAGTATTTGGACTTTTTCTGTGTCCCTGTGGATGCGCTAATAAATTTTGTGGCGTCTGTTGTCAATTTTTATGCGTATAGCACGCAGGAATTCACGTCCCGTAAATCCCGGGATACTGATGAAATGATGACCTTGGCGATATTGTCATGTACTAAGCAGTTACTAGTATTTATCACTGTCGTAGTGCTGATGTTGTTGTAATTATGTTCATGTTGTTTGTGTAGGTGATGGAGAGTGAGGAGTTCATGCTGCTGCCAGTGAACCAGTTGGTGGACATCATCTCCAGTGACGAGCTCAACGTACGCAATGAGGAGCAGGTGTACAACGCATGCATGGGCTGGGTGAAGTACAACATCCAGGAGCGTCGCACACACCTGCCCACAGTAAGTCATACTTCACAACATCTGCTTCTGGCTGGAATTGGTTGGTCCCTAGCAACTAGGCTGTAACGATGCACGAACTATCAATGGATTGCAATTGTTGAGTCTCCGAAAGCAATTAATCGATGGTAGAAACGAAAGACTAGCAATTCATCGATAGTATGTGTGACAATCAATAGTTTAGCAATTGACTGCCGGTGATAAATGCGCAGCACAAAATACAGGAAGTACCAGATTCGTTCACTTTGATTTAGACAGAGTTATCCGCCCCCTGTTAGGTTTTAACTGTTTACTTGATCAGGGTTTCAAGTTTCTTATCAGTTATTAGAAGAGACTGAAACTACCTCAACTTGTTTTTATTTCATATAAACTACACATTCATTTGGGAAAAGACTCCAAATGACACAATTCAAGGTGAAAAAACATATTGCAATAGTATTCCAATAGTTGACCACAATAGACTATATCTATCGCAATAGTATGTTGCAATAGGCTATCGTTATCGCAGTAGCTGTTTCCCCCTCAATAGTCACCATTACTAGCAACGTGGCCATAATAGAAGCAAGAGCAGCTGACATGTTTCAAAATTTAGTGGGGGCGGTGGGGTAGCCTAATGGTTAAAGCGTTGGCACTTCACACTGAAGACCTGGGTTCGAATCCCCACATGGGCACAATGTGTGAAGCCCATTTCTGGTGTCCCCCGCCGTGATGTTGCTGGAATATTGCTAAAAGCGGTGTAAAACCAAAACTCAGTCAGTGAGTCAAACTTTAGTTGATTATTTATCATGTTTATACACAGGTTGCCTTGTCACCTCAGGTGATGCAACACTATGCATGCCAGAAACTGGTTCGAATCTTAGTTTGCACTGTCTATGTTTCAAGTTTTGTCAGCAATGTACCCATCTTTTCGGTTCCACCAAAGTGATGAACATGATACATGTGTGAAACCAGGTAATTCTTAACCTCAGGAATATGTGCTCCTGAAATTAGCGGAAGAGGAAAACAGTGAGTGAGTGAGTTTAGATTTACGCCGCTTGTAGCAATATTCCAGCAATATCATGGCGGGGAACACCAGAAATGGGCTTCACACATTGTACACATATGGGGAATCGAAGCCGGGTCTTCAGCGTGACGAGCAAACGCTTTAACCACTAGGCTACCTTGTCGCCCCAGAGGAGTACAGGTGTTGAATTCTGTCTTTGTTGGAGTGCAGCATTGCTAGTTCACAATGATCATGATGATTACAATTTTTAGTTGATCAAATTCGAATCAAGACATTTTTAGCTGTTTCAGAATTGCTTAGCAACAGAGCAAAGGGGAATTACTTCAACTAAGGCAATGTTTACAAAGTTTACATAACATCTAAACGTACGGGGAATTACTGTCCAAATCTAACATAGTGGTATACAGGCCTATATACTCGTGTATGATACTCTTTTAATTAATTATACATCTGCATATTCGTTTGGCATCGATACACCGATACGTCAATACGCCTCTTACCTAGAGCACTGCCAGATAACTGTAATGCTGCACAAATCAGCACTGAAAGTTAAGTGGGCTCTTCTGGTTCCTGAACATTAAATTCAGCAGGGAACCCCTAAGTCTTTTGACAATTTTTAACAGTTGTGTAAAGACAAGAGCCCTTTGATCACAATGATGCATTTTTCAAACATTGATTTGATTGTTTTGAAGCGTATTACAAAATGTGATTGGTTGCAGGTAATCCAACATGTCCGCCTTCCTCTGATGAGTCCCAAGTTCCTCGTGGGCACAGTCGGAGCAGATCTTCTTATCAAAAGTGACGAAGCATGTCGAGATCTTGTAGACGAAGCCAAAAACTACCTGCTCCTACCTCAGGAGCGCCCCCTGATGCAAGGTCCAAGAACTAGACCCCGCAAGCCCATCAAGTGTGGAGAGGTGTTGTTTGCAGGTTGGCAGTTTGTTGCTGAATCTATGACACTCAGCTTACAACTAGCATGCCAACATTGGCAAAACCATTGCAGTATTTTTAGCTCAATATGTTAATTTCACCAATATGATTAAGTGAATATTTTATGCATTTACATTCACAAATCACAGGTATCTAGAAATAATATTGGCCTTAAAATAGTAATTGTCACATACACAACCAATTATAAACCACAGGTCACATGCATCATATACTTACTTTCAAAAGTTTAGACTCACTTAAAACACTGACTATATGTTATGTATATATATATATATGGTTACATCAAAGACTGATTTCTCCACTAACTTGGGGGAACCAACTGCAAACCTTATGCTGACGAATTGCACGAAAATCATGCATCAAATAGCTGAAAAGCATGTGCAAATATCGTGCATGTGAACAGCTGCGTTTTGGTGTAAAGTTTTGTTAAGAATTCACCAATTTTCACTGATTTTTATCATTTATTGAACACATGACTATAATCTTTTCAACGTTACGAATTTGTTTACAATACATCAGTTCATGTGTAAACAGTACTCTTAAACAGTATGGAATATTTTGCAAAATTTAGTTTAGAACAGTTGCCTGAAGTAAGTGGCTATATTTACACTAGTGAGCCTAAACTTTTGAAGGGAAGTATATATTGATTCAGGAATCCCTTGTACATTAAACTGACAAACCAATATGTCATAAATAGATATAAATAAAATATAAGCATAAAGCCACTTATCACCCAGTATGTAGTGTGGAATTTAATCCAACTTTGTTCCGTTTTCCCCAGCAATGAAGTCCCATCTCACACAATAGTTACTCACAAATTGTTATATGGAGCCATTTTGCATGACCTTGACCATTATATCTTTTTTCCTCTAGTGGGTGGTTGGTGCAGCGGTGATGCTATATCCAGTGTAGAAAAGTATGATCCACAGACCAATGAGTGGCTCCTGGTAGCCCCAATGAGCAAGCGGAGATGTGGCGTGGGCGTGGCTGTTCTCAACGATCTATTGTATGCTGTGGGCGGCCATGATGGACAATCCTACCTCAACAGTATAGAGAGGTGCCTCTTTGTTTTTGAAAATGGCCTTGCGGCAGTGCATAAATTTACTGCATTAAAATGTTTAATTTATGTCTTTAATTCAGTGCATGAGAAGTCAAAGAAAGGGCTGTCAAAGATTTGAATTTATCATCCAAAACTGGCTTTCACAGGAGATATAGCTAGAGTTAGGGACCGTTCATAATTTATGGCTAGTGGGGGTGATGATGATTTTAGGGTGGTGTTGGTGAGGTAGGGGGGATCATCAATTTTGTACACATGTACTAGGAGGGGTTGGCATTGATTTTGTACTTGATATGCAGATACATGATCACTTACTTTGTACAGCATTTTTTTTTTTTTTGGGGAGGGGCTGTGGAATACACACTGTACATGCTACTCCATAAGAATGGCAGTACAAGGCTTCGGAGACCATTCTGACATCATTGGTTACTATGACATCACAATTAATCTCTGCTGGTCAGCTGTACTTTAACATTGTTACAATAAAGACACTGGTTATAACTGTTTACAAACTGAAAAGTTCTAAGAATGGCCTATTTTTGGTGGCCCCACCATGACATTGCTGGAATATTGCTAGAAGTGGCATAAAACTAAATTCACTTACTCATTCTAAGTATGGGTTTGGATGATAAATAGTATATCACCTATGTGTCTTTTGATATGAAATATATCAACACTGGTCAGCAGAAGCTGGCAAGCTGGAAAGTTGAAAGCCTTTAGTCATTGGCTGGACGTCTCGCTTAGCCTCGATCCAGATGAGAGGCATTTTGGCGTGAGGTTATAATGCATCAGATTTCAATACTCTATCGGGGCCAATAGTAAGACAACTTTACGATGGGGAATGGACATATTAACCCATTCAACACCGCAGGCCGAATAATCGGCCACAACGTCAAAATGAGACATAATTTTAGGAACCTACCTGACTTTGATTCATATATCAAATCTATCACATTTCACAATGTCTGAAAACACTTATTAAATTTCAATTTATCATATATTATCATCAGAATTAAAATTATAAACTATTTTTCGCAATGTTCTTGAAAACAACGATTCTCGGACACATGCTTCGGCAGCGGGTCTACAATAACATTGTCAAAGAGCAAAGTAACGATGTTTCGAGGAATTCATTAAATAAATTGAATAAACTAATGAATAAAATCAACAACAGCATTCATAAAAGTTGTCAAACGTACATATAAAATTACTATTTCCATCTTTTTGTGCGATCATGTAATGCAAGTCAAGTCACTGACGAGTGACATCTCGGCTCTCGCCGCCTCAATCTTCACGCTCGGACACGATGTTTAATGCGAAAATATATACATGAAGCATTTTTTGTCACAGGTCATAACCTAGCACGATACGTCCAATAAGTTCCATAATTTACGTACAGGTAGCGATTTCTTGCTTAATATGTTCAGAATAGCATTATTTTACCCAAAACTTTTGTCTAAATCTGAAGGTTTTCGTTTACGAGGACGGTATCCATTACTGTAATATGATTGGCTGCCTTAGGTCACTTGTCCGATTTTGACCAACCACGACCCTTATAGCAGACTGTGGCGAAAAAGCGTCATTAGAAACCAATCTTTATCCAATAAAATCGCTTCTTACAACTGTGAAAATACTCTTGGCAAGGGTACAGTGATATTGTTGATGTTCAGAGCCATGAGAGCTTTCGAACGATGCCCGACATCAAACGATTCACGTCGCATGTTATGCATACGAAGCTTCGAAAACGGAGGTATTTTCCGTTGTTATGTCATGTTACCGAGCGGAAAGCCACAGATATCGGGAAATAGGCGACCATACATATTATTTAAGAAATCTTTTTATAATCATTTTCTGATGACGTAAAAATGAAAATATAAAAGAAAAAGGCACGGACATGTTATCACATGTCACAAATGGAAAAAAATCGCCATAGTTTTTGCTTTTTTCGTGGTTTATCTGGACGTTATAAATGTAAGCTTGCATTTTCATTCAAAAATACATTTATTTAAGTTGTAGTTGTATTATTTGAATAATATTATAAAAATAAACTTCATATTTATCAACAGTAGGATTAGATCTTTTAAATGGTGTATGGGATGTAGTAGCAATAACGTTTTACAAGCTTATAATTTCCTTCATAAACATAGGCTTCATCTATGACCTCAGGGTCTCTGGGAACTCGGTGTCACGGCAGTAAATGCCTCTGGTTGACTGGTGTTGAAAGAGTTAAAAATGAAACACAAACACACACACACATTCTTGTTGTTATCTTTATTTAACATGGAAAAGAAGTGGACTGGTGAAAATAATAAGGACTGGTATATTTGAGGCTTACCAGTCCCATGGACTGGTAAATTCAAACTCACCGAAACACTGACTTTATCGAATCGATTTGATAGATTTATGTGAAAAGACACTCTGGTGACATTCTCTATAGATCTGCTTTTGGCTTTCAGTGACCCTCAGTTTTCAAAAGTACTGTGTGAGATTTTAACCAATTCCCAACACTACTGTGTAATACTGATTCATAATGAACGGGTTAGTAACAAATCTGGTTCAAGATTATCAGATGTATTGACTTGGAGGAAATTGTATGCTTTGTCTGGAGGTCACTGGCCTTACATTGTCCGATGTTGTTCTGGGTGGAGTTGATAACAACACCAAGTACCTGTTGTTTTCCCTCAGATATGATCCCCACACTAACCAGTGGAGTAGCGATGTGGCCCCGACCAGTTCGTGTAGGACCAGTGTGGGCGTGGCAGTCTTGGGGGACTACTTGTACGCAGTAGGGGGTCAGGACGGTGTTTCCTGCCTCAACTATGTCGAAAGGTAACTCAGTCTCAGTCAAAGGGTAAAGGAAGTATGTTTTTCTTACAAAAATAGAAATGTCATTTGTATACATGTAATATGCAATGTAAAAACTGATAAGTTAAATATTTCTCTCTGTACACAATTTTTTCATAATTATGACTTCCATCCAAATTGGGATGGTAGGATAGCCTTTTGGTAGAAGCATTCCATCGTCATACCAAAGATCCGTGTTTGATTCCCTACATGGGTACTGTGTGTGAAACCTATTTCTGGTGTCCCCCAGCGTGATATTTGCTGGAATATTCCAAAAAGAGGCATGAAACCCAACTCACTCACTCGCTTCAAAACAGACCAACTATTGATGGTTGATCAAACTAATGCACAGACTGCTAGGGTTAACCGTCACTCCCTCCGTCCGAAATGAAGCCACCCAGATGATGACTGACCTACTCATCTATGCAGTGTTGACCTAACCCACTCACTCACTCACAATGACACATTATTCCCTTTGTTAGGTATGATCCTCAGACCAACAAGTGGGCCAAGGTTGCTTCCATGAGCACCAGGAGGCTGGGAGTGGGCGTTGCCGTCTTGTGTAGCTTCCTGTATGCAGTTGGTGGCAGCGATGGCACTTGTCCCCTCAACACAGGTTAGTGGCTACTGCTATTGTCAGGGGTGGAAATAACCCATTGCCAGACGCCCGAGTCCAGTGTTTTTTCTGTCTGGCAAGCAAATTTTTATTTCACACTGTACCGGTGTCCAGTTGACTTTCCAATATTAATTATGTTGTTTATTTTAAAAATCAACAAGAAAACGTCCGGTATAGTGGAAAATTATCAGGGCAAGTGATTTTACATGTGCCACTGTACCGGAGTACACTAGCAATTTTAAAGTTATTTCCGCCCCTGATTGTACATACACAGGACTGCAACACAGGAAACGTTTCACCATGTTGTAAGTGTGTAACAATGCTATTGGCATCCTGGATTTATATTAAGGCAGAACGTGAAAACAAACCAAAGATACTTCTAAAAAAATTTGAACAGAATGTTATCATAGCCATGGTACGTCTCCAGGGGTCAAAATTATTTTGTTGACTCTGAATCTAAAATATTATCAAAACTTATATCTTTAAATCATTGTTTCAAGAATTTCAAGAAATAAACTGGATGAAGGCATCACTTGCCCCGCAGGATTACCATTGCTAGATTATATCTGTATATTCTTGAAGTCCAGCTGACTTTGTCTCCATTAGAATTGTTAGAATTAGAAAACAACCCCACCAACCAATGCTTGAGTGACCAGATTGGTGGTCAAAGACTTGGTCCATTGTTTGTTGTCACTCACTGGCTTGTTTGATGCCGACTTGATTCTGTACAGACAACCATGATCAGACAGCAATAGCTGGAGTATGACTGAGTGAGATGTTAAACCTCAAAACATGAGATGTGTATGTTTTCTTCAGTGGAGCGTTATGCTCCACGGACAAATCGCTGGACCTCTGTAGCTCTGTATGTTTTTTTCAGTGGAGCGTTATGATCCACGGACAAATTGCTGGACCTGTGTAGCTCTGCATGTTTTTTTCAGTGGAGCGTTATGATCCACGGACAAATCGCTGGACCTGTGTAGCTCTGCATGTTTTTTCAGTGGAGCGTTATTATCCATGGACAGATCGCCTGTATCTCTGTATGTTTTTTCAGTGGAGCATTATGATCCTCGGACAAATCGCTGGACCTCTGTACTGTAGCTCTACATGTTTTTTTCAGTGGAGCGTTATTATCCATGGGCATATCGCCTGTATCTCTGTATGTTTTTCAGTGGAGCGTTATGATCCACGGACAAATCGCTGGACCTCTGTAGCTCTGCATATTTTTTTCAGTGGAGCGTTATGATCCATGGACAGATCGCCTGTATCTCTGTATGTTTTTCAGTGGAGCGTTATGATCCTCGGACAAATCGCTGGACCCCTGTAGCTCCGATGGGTACACGGCGGAAACACCTGGGTGTGGCTGTGTACAACAATATGATCTACGCTGTGGGCGGCCGTGACGACACCACAGAGCTCAGTAGTGCAGAGAAGTACAACCCCCAGACCAACACGTGGCAGCCGGTGGTTGCCATGACGTCCAGGAGGAGTGGGGTATGTAGGCTGCAGAATGGCATGGAATTTCAACTTGGTCTCATATCTTAAAAGTAGAGGTAGTTTAACAATGAGTTTCCACAAGACATATTGTCATTATTAATAGTTCATTTGAAACAAGTGTGAATTATATATGTCAACAGTAAGGGACAATCTTCTAATCACTGTGAGGAGTTATGTCCCTTGGGAAGACCAGAAACCTGTGATCGCAGGTGGAAAGAGCTGACAAACTGTGATATTACTGGAATGCTCATGTCATCAGAGATGCATTGTTTTCATGTTTGACTGTATATTATATCTTGCCATCAGGTGGGGCTAGCAGTCGTGAATGGACAGCTGATGGCAATCGGAGGATTTGACGGGACAACATACCTGAAAACTGTGGAGATTTATGACCCTGAACAGAACTGTTGGAGGATTGTTGGGGGAATGAACTATAGGCGCCTTGGAGGTGGAGTTGGCGTTGTCAAAATGCCACAAAACGATTCTCATCTCTGGTAGCCCTGGCAACGTTTCTGTAGGTGTGATACAGTAGCTGCAGTGTTGTGTTTCTACCACTGGGAAACAGTTCTGGGATCAGGATTCTGATGTGCCATTTAGGGTGGTTATGGACAAAACGGTGGTCGGCATGGAAACTGTCTCATGGTGTTGAAGAACCACAGCTTTCTGATGTTCTGTGTCGTACATGGAGTTAGCGACTCAACAATCTGAACCATACGTACAACCTGACTTGTGGAATCTGCCACTGTTGTTCTTGAATTCCACATGAACCTGCAATTCTTGGATTCTGCATTACCTGCAGATCATTACTAGCAGAGATTGCTGTGTTTTGAAACTGAAACAATCATAACTGCAGACAGCGTAATGATGCTCTAACAACACAATGATCCATCTGGCGGCAACACCGGCTATTGATGAAGACATTGAATGAGATACCATTGGCCCCACCTCATGACCAATATGCTGATTTTTTTAAAGCCAAAAAAAATGACTGGTGTAATTGTGACTGACAAGTGATGAGCGTTTGACTTTCAACTTCTGAACCGCAGGAGGGGTATACTGTGTTTCCATGGCAACTTTGTGGTGTTCCAGCTGCCATTACTAGAACATATTACACATCAAAAATGGACTTGTTGCCATGTTTGTATTTAGCACTCTAATCAGATAGCATTGTTCTGGTCCTGCCAGAGATACATGGTAGACGTGTCAGGGGTCGATATAAGGATTTGAAACCTACTTGCACCCAGTGCAACCTAAGGCAATCACCTTGTTGCACCAAACAAAAACAGGCTGCACCTCCTGCTGCTCAATATCAAATCTTATATAATGCTTGAGTTTTGGTAAAGACGGTTTAGAACAGTATTATAACAAAAGAAATCTGTAGTTATCTTACTTCCTAAACTTTCATGAACAGTAAGTCCTTCAGTCACTGTTCCTACAATAATCAGAGTCACTGTTCCAAGTCAGTTCCTCATCATTCTGTTTTCCAGCTGAAGTCTGTGTTCTTTGAACACAAAATATTAACATGCACTGGGTGCAAGTTGATATACATAAGAGGTTGCATTTAGCAGTTTCAGGTTGCACCAGTGCAAGTTCTAAATGCTTAAATCGAGCCCTGCGTGTGTTTGTATGTATGTAATAATGATAATAGCATTCAATCAACCACTCTGTTGTACTTTCTGGTTACACAAGTGGGAAATATTGCTTAAAGGTTTCAGGAGGGTGAGGTAGCCTAGTGGTTAAAGCATTCTTTCATCGCGCCGAAGACCCAGGTTCGATTCCCCACACGGGTACAATGTGTGAAGCCCATTTCTGGTGTCACCCACCATGATAATTATGGAATATTGCTATAAGTGGCGTAAAACTCAACTCACTCACACTCACTTTGAGGTTTCATGGTCGTCACATGACTACTTTGAATAAATGCGAGATCATCATAACTCAAACAGAAGGTCTTGCTGAACAACGACCTTGTCTGAAGGAATGTCATGATTATGTGCAAGTAGATCTGGTATTCACGATTTGCTGATTTTGCATTTATTCAAATTAGACTACTAGGATCTGTAAGAGATTTTATTCCAATTTTATTATATCATTTAGCAGCTCATTTGCAGTGTTTTTGTTTTCTCTTTCAACTCATTGCACTAAACCTGGTGCATTATTTAGAATTTTACCTGTGTGTATGAATCATTTCATTGTTAATTCAACTGTCAGTCCATGTATGTTTTTCAAATTTATGTTTAAATCACACTTATTGAATTATATATTCATCTTACCTTATCTTCTTTAGATAATTGCCATTTCCGCTTCATTTGGAAATTGATCTGATTGCATGTATATAAACTGATTGGATTCCCCATGAGATGTACTGAAGTTGTGTGTGGAGTGATGGAGGGAGGGAGGGAGGGAGGGGAGGAGGAGGAAGGAATGGATGGGGGATAGGATGTAGAAAAGGATGACAGACACCGCAGCATGTAGATGTGGGTTGATTTGAATGTCTGGGGGAGAGAGTTTGAATGTTGATGTCTTCCGCTGTGTATAACTATCTTGTACAAACTGCTTGATCCGCTTATTTATTTCCTAGTGTTACACTGTACATGTTGTTTGATGTAAATACATTCAATTGTCTGATTGTCCCCACACCTGTTTATGCCAGGCTCACGCTGTATCACATTGTAACACTTGTCATGTACCATGTATCACATGTCATGTTGGATATGGATGTGTTGTAAACCCTCTATCATCATGTAGGATACAGATGTTATTTGCCCTGTATCACGTCATGTAGGATATGCATGTGTCAAGTATCCTGTATCACATGTCATGTAGGATATGGAAGTGTCATGTAACCTCTATCACATGTCATTAGGATATGGATGTGTCATGTATCTTGTATGACATGTTATGTTGGATATGGAACTGTCATGTAACCTCTATTACATGTCATGTAGGATATAGATGTGTCATGTATCCTGTATCACATGTCATGTAGGATATGGATGTGTCATGTATCCTGTATCATATGTCATGTAGGATATGGATGTGTCATGCAACCTCTATCACATGTCATTAGGATATGGATGTGTCATGTTCTTTGTATGACATGTCATGTAGGATATGGGTGTGTCATGTAACCTCTATCACATGTCATTAGGATATGGATGTCATGTCATGTCATGTAGGATATGGATGCGTCATGTTCTTTGTATGACATGTCATGTAAGATATGGATGTGTCATGTAACCTCTATCACATGTCATGTAGGATATGGATGTCATGTAACCTCTATCACATGTCATGTAGGATATGGATGTCATGTAACCTCTATCACATGTCATGTAGGATATGGATGTCATGTAACCTCTATCACATGTCATGTAGGATATGGATGTGTCATGTAACCTCTATCACATGTCATGTAGGATATGGATGTCATATAACCTCTATCACATGTCATGTAGGATATGGATGTCATGTAACTTCTATCACATGTCATGTAGGATATGGATGTCATATAACCTCTATCACATGTCATGTATGGTATATGGATGTCATGTAACCCCGTATCATATGTCATGGTAGGATATGGATGTCACATGTAACTCTATCACATGTCATGTAGGATATGGATGTCATGTAACCTCTATCACATGTCATGTAGGATATGGATGTCATGTAACCTCTATCACATGTCATGTAGGATATGGATGTGTCATGTAACCTCTATCACATGTCATGTAATGATATGACATGTCATGTAAGATATGTATATGTTATGTAACCTCTATCACATGTCATGTAGGATATTGATTTGTCATTACATGTCATGAAGGATGTAAGTATGTCATGATATGGCATACCAAATATATCTTTGTAACAATATATCACAGAGTATGGTGTGAATGTTTCATGTATTTCATACCATATATAATTATACTCTGTACCATGTACCCCCAACACATGTTTTTACACAACCATGTGTGATATGTATGCACACATACCCAGAGAGACTGGTGTATATCAACACTACAATCGCATTGAGAGACATGTTATGTGAGCAAGTTATACAGTGTGAGACGGCCATTGGATTAGATGTTTCCTAATGGACAAAACCTTCTTGTGCACACGACTATTTGGTGACATCAGCACTCTACATCTGTTACCATGGTAACTCACAGATATGTGTAAATAGAATCTCTTAAAATGACTGAATAAATATGTAAATTGAAACTTTTTCAGTATATGTTGATCACACGATGAATATCAGAAATACATCATCCTTCAGTGTCATGTTGGTTGGTTTGTTGGTTAACGCCACACTCAGCAATATCCCAGCTATATGTAGCCGGTTTGTAAATAATCGAGTCTGGACCAGACAATCCAGTGATCAACAACATGAGCATCAATCTATGCAATTGGGATATGATGACATGTGTCAACCAAGTCAGCGAGCCTGACCACCCAATCCTGTTAGTCGCCTTTTACAACAAGCATTGGTTGCTGAAGACCAATTCTAACCGTAATCTTCATGGTTGAAAAATTACGAGCATTATCAGGAAGGAGAGAGACGGGCACCCAGTTCCCAAGAAGCATACATCTGCAGTCAGGTCAGGCTCTACCCTACAAAGACTTCTTAGTCCTAAGATGATCTTATGTCTGTTAGAGCATGGGAGTTGCCATCACAGCACTGAGATGGCTTTGTGTAAGTTGGTCCATGGTCCATTTGCACAAAGTGATCATAGCACTACTGATGGCCTTAACTTCCATACTTTAACATAGGCTTACCATCATAGCACTAAGATTGTTTTGTGCTAGTGGCTCCAGATCCATATAATTGCTTTGATAGTTAAGTGGGTAGAGCATGCTATTTGCATCATATTAAAAAGAGTTAAAAGAATGGTACGCGTTAACCAGCCTGTTGTTCAACATGGAGGGGATAGAAGGCTCAGGGGGATACGAGGACTGTAAGGGGGTACAATGACTGGTGGACTTGGACTATATTATGTCTGATGGCATATCCATGTTTAACTTCGGCATGGGATATTGTGCGATAGCACTATACAAACCTACAGTTGTAGCTGCAGCCAACACGCATGCATGAATGTGGATCAGAGTGCAATAATCTTGAGCATGGTTAAGCCCATTTTGAGTTCAACACCTAATCTCTGCCATGTTCTTAATATTCTCTCTGATACGGCTGGACTGCTGAGAGTGATATTTGGTGTGCACTTTCTTCAACTGAACATTTGTCAAATCGTTGTGATTTTAATGTAATTTATTAATTGTAAATTGTAAAGAAATCAAACATCACAAAAAGTATAAGATGTTTATTCTTAATATCTCAAAAGCACACAGTATGAATGTATTTACTGCGAGAATATATCCAGGTTCATTGATTGATTCATCTGATCAATGTTTTATACAACAAGTCTGTTGACAAACCACATAGCTGGTAATTCTAGACAGAGTGACACCCTAGGTAAACCCCTCGGTTGTGACTGATTGATTGATTGTTGTTTAACGCCGCACTCAGCAATATTCCTGCTTTGTGGCGGTGATCTGTAAATAATACCAGACCGAGATCGATCTACGCAACTGGGTTACAATGTGTCAAACAAGTCAGTGAGCCTGACCACTCGTTAGTCGCCTCTTGTGCCAAGCAATGGCCCCACTAATGAAGACCCAGTTCTAACCCGGATCTTCACGGTCACTTTGGGTGTTACTACTATTTAAATTGATACAGGTGGCGTGCTAACCAAGTGGTTAAGGCATTCGCTTGTCACGTTGAAGACCCGGGTTTGATTCCCCACATGGGTACAATGTCTGAAGCCCATTTCTGGTATCCCTCTGATGTTGCTGGAATATTGCTAAAAGCAGTGTAAAACCTAACTCACTCATTCACTCACTCACTCCTGGTGCGACAGCGTCAGCGCCCCTGCTGCAACATGGCATCAACGTCCTGCTGCAACATGATGTTACGTCCCTGCTGCAACGTATGGCGTTATGTCCCTGCTGCAACATGGCATTAC